GGGGGGGGGGGCCGGGGGAGGGGACGCCGTCCCTGCCCGCCGCCCGCCGCCCCCCGCCCGCCGGCTCCGAGCCTCAGTCGGCGCCCAGCATCCCGCGGCCCCGGACCCTCCGCGGGCGCGCCCCGGGCTCCACTCAGGTAAGGGGCCTCCCCCACGGGCGCGCGGCGAGGACCGGAGAGCCGGGGGCGGAGGCGAGGACACAGACCCTCAGAGTCAGGGACAGCGGGGAGAAAGAGAGACACAAAGACAGAGACAGAACTATAGAGACAGACCCACGGAGAGGAGGCGGCACGTCCACGGGGACAGAGGGACGCACAGGGACCCATGCACCCGGGGACCCGTGCACACAGGGACGGACGGGTGCAGAGACACAGAGAGGGAGACTGGAGAGAAGCGAGACGCACCGGAGAGGGGGCCGCACAGAGAGGCAGACGCTGCCCGGAGAGACAGACAGCGGCACAGCCCGGGAGGCAGAGGCACACGTCCAGGCGAGGGGACCGAGACCCAGCCGGACGCACGGACACAGCCCTGCCGCACAGGCAGCCCGGGCCCTCCGGGGCGCAGCCCTGGCCCGCAGTCCCCCGCCTGCAGGCCTCCACAAAGTTCCCTCCGTGAGCGCCCCAGGGCTCCGGCCGGCCACACGCGCCGGCCGGCCGCGGGCCCCATCCTCCCAGGCCGCGGGCCTCCTCGGTCCCGCCCACTCGAGTGCCCGGCGGGCTGGGAGCGGGTGGGCAGGGCCAGGCCGAGCACGGTTCCGGGAGCAGGAGCCACCCGCTCGGCCTCCCACCGTGGCTACGCCCCCATCCAGGTGCCCAGAGCGGCCTGCGGAGGAGGCGTTGCTCTGGGGGCTCCTGGGCCTGCTGGGACACGAGTCCTGTGCCAGGGAGGCCAGAGGTGTGGGGGGCCTCACCCCACCCCTTCCTCCTCACACCCTCCCCTTTGCCCTGTGCCCCCATAGGCGCAGGACTGCAGGTGGACGTCGCCACTGCCCAGGAATCGTTGCGTGTGGACGGGACAGCCTCCGCGGAAGGCCGGCGCTACCGGAGTCCCCCTCGGCATGGGCCTTGCCGTTGAGGGAGCCCCGAGGTCTGTGCTGGTCTGAGGGCGCTGCCCGTCATGGGGGCAGCCATCTCCCAGGGCGCCCTCATCGCCATCGTCTGCAACGGCCTCGTAGGCTTCTTGCTGCTGCTGCTCTGGGTCATTCTCTGCTGGGCCTGCCACTCCCGCTCTGCTGACATCGACTCCCTCTCCGAATCCAGTCCCAACTCCAGCCCTGGCCCCTGTCCCGAGAAGGCGCCCCCGCCCCAGAAGCCCAGCCATGAAGGCAGCTACCTGCTGCAGCCCTGAAGTCCCCGGGCCTAGCCTGGAGTCTGGGACCTAAGTCCAGCCCCCACCCAGAGCCTGGAATCAGGATTCCAGGGTCCGGCCAGCCTGGGGTTCAGAACTCAGAGAACAGCCTGTCTGGAGCTGGACCCAGCACCCAGAGTCTAGCCAGCCTGGCTCCAAGAGGGGCTCTGGTGGCCCCAGGTAGACAGGTCTGGGGCGGGGGTTCATGAGTTGGTGCTAGGGCTGGGGCCATCTGAACTCTGCTCCATTCCAAGGGCCAGGGGGTGTCCACCCTCTCCCTAGGCCAGTCGCCTCTAGGCCTTCAAGGTTGGGGAAGCAAACTGGAATCCATGGCAATAATGGGAGGGTGTCCAGGCTGGGCCCCTCCTCTGGTCCTCCCACTGTTTGTTGGGTAATAAATGGAACTATGGCTCTACCCTGAGATTTTCTCCTCTTCCTGGGGGCCCTGTGGTAGCAAAATTAAAGGTAAGGGATGGGCTTCCAGACAAGTTTATTTGTGCACGGTAGGAGGGGGTAATGGTGGTTGAGGGCCGCATTCTAGGGTAAGGTGCTGGGACCAGGGCTGGAGCAGGGTGCTGAGGGCAGATGCTGGGGCCTGATCAGGGCTGGGGTCACATACTGGGTGCTAAGGCTGGGCCTGGGTACCAGGCTCAGGGGCTACAAGTACTGGGTTCAAGAAATGGACAGGGACTGAGGCCAGGCCCTCAGATCTTGGTCTTCACTTCCCTCACCAGGTTCAGCAGTTTGTCCAATTTTGCGATCTCCACAGCTGGACCTTTCTGCACTTCCTGCCCCTTTTTTTCCTGGGGAGAGGGGAAGTACACATGGGGGAGGCATGATGAGGGATGGGCCATCTCTCCCTGTCCCCCATCGCCTGCTGTGCCCTCCCCCTCCCCTGCCCAGTTAGATTCTGGACCTCTGCCTCCCCCGACCCCCACAGGATCCTTCCCCAACTCAGATTGGGTGACACAGGGGCCCAGGTGAGGCCTACAAGAAGCATCCAGCTCTCGCTCTGAACCTCAGACCAAGACAGGGTCTGGATGCTGGGAGGAGTGGAGGAAGGTATCCACTTCCTGACCCTCAGAGGAACTAGCCCTTCAAGTCAGGGAGAGCTATAGCCCTGGGAAGAAGTGGGGCCTCTGACCATTGGGACCACCCTTCCCCCAGGACAGTCCCTGGCTGTGTCCTAACAAGGAGCTAAGAGGTATGTGTTTGCAGATGGAGAGGGCTGTGGAAAAAGCCACAGGTGCTCTCACCTAGTATTCGTACCTAATTCTTCGGAGTGGGCTGCCATTTGGGGCCAGGCTTGCTGTGTCAGACATACCCGGGGAAGGGGGAAAGGATGTCAAACCTAGGAGGGCTGATGGGATATCCCATGTGATTCCAGATGTCCTTGGCTGGGACTGTCCCTCAGAAGAGCAGATCCTGAATTTATGATCCCTCACCCCTGTCTACAGGGCACTATGATGCTTCAGCTGGTAACCTGGGCCCCGAGAAAAAGAGAGTTGGGACACTGGGGTGTATGTCCCTCAAGGTCCTGAGAGCTCCTTGGCAGACCAGCACCAGTCCCATCTTCATTTCTGTCCAGGTGGTGGGGTGTGGGCTAGGCTGGGGCAGCTGCCATTTCCTGCCTTCCCTCTGCTCCTGAATCCCCACCCTGTCGGCCACCTGTCCCCACTGCTCACTGGCACCTGCCCCAGCCTTGCCTGCTGAGGGCCCAGCCTGGGTTTGGCCTGGGCAGTGAGGTGAAGGGAGAGTGCAGGGCCAGCAGGCCCCTTCCTGGCCCCATCCCAGCTGCTGACACTGTGTGCAGCTCAGATTTCCTCCTGGTGTGACCCCTGCACCTGCTCCCAAATCTGTCTCCCCCTCCCCTTGCAGCCCAGCGCTTTTGCCACTGCCCAGCTCAGCTCCTCACTCTCGAGGCAGAACGAAGATGTCTTTTTCTCTCTCTTCCCTCTCTCCCTCTTGAATTAAGCTCATGTTCTCTTCTTGGCCTCACCCCATCCCCCTGGGAATTAGGGGACCTGGCTTTTAATTCCAGCTTTGTCGTTAATTCCTTGCATGACTCTGGGCAAGTCTCTTGCCTTTCTGAGCTTTAGTTTGCCATCTATACAGCAGTTAAGGAAAGATAGTCCTTGCCCTTTGATATGCTGGGCTCTGACACCAATCATGGGAAGCTCCTTGGGCCAGGAAGTCGGGCCTCTGTGGCCAAGGCCTCTTGGGAAGGGCAGGGAGACTGCAGCCCGCAGAGGAGGGGCAGGAGGGATGCCTAGAGGACTTCCTTTTGCACAGTCACTCGGCTGCTGACAAGGTCAGATGGTAACTTCATAGGAACTGCCAATCCACCCAAGTAGTAGCCCCCAGCTGTCACCTCCTCAGGTTCTCTGACGCAAGGTGCCCATGTCTTCAGGTCCTCAGAAACACAGAGCCTAGCTCTCGCAGCTGTGACTGACCCTTGCTCTGAGAGGATTGGGACTGTGGGAGATCCTTGCCTCCCCAGTCAGAGTGGGCAGGGCGGGCCCCCACCCAGATCTACCCCCTCACTGCTGTGTGATGGCTGTACCCCTGCCCCAGGGGGCAACCATGATCCCTCCCACAGGGCTGTCCAGCTCTGTCAGCTCAAGCCTGGGTCTCTTTCCTCACTAAATTAACAGCAGATTTTATCTGTTCCACAAATTGTGCTGCCTCCTTCCCCCTCCTAGAGGCCAACTAGCTGCGCTCGGCAAAGAGCTTCAGACCACGCCCGACTCCCCCCATCCCACCACAGCCTCTGGGCCACAGCTGCAGGCGCTTAGCAGCCTTCTGAGTATTTATAGCCAAGTCCACCCCATCCCCCGGCTGGCTAGAATTACAGGCCCGGCCAAACTGCCAGCCCTTGCCTCCCTGGCGTGGTGGGGAATAGACCAGGCCGGCACGAGAGGGATGGTGCGGTGGCCTCTGCCTTGGTAGGGGTGCAGGGGGGCAGGTGTCAGTAGTTGAAAGAGATAGGCCCTGCTGTTGCCTCACACTGTGAGTAAATGCTTCAAATTGCAATTGTACGTCATCAGGGCAACTTGGCCCAGCCCTGGCCCAGCTCTGATCCTGGCCCCTGAACCTGGCAGAAAGCAAATTCCATTTCCTCTCTTAGCACCCAAGTGGGCAGGACTGGGCTCTGGATTTTTAAGTTGGACTCTTAGCTCTGGATTCTAAGGCTTGGATTCTTAAGTCTGAACTGGGACTCTGAGATCTAGACTTTGAGGTCAGGGCTCTGGGCTCTGTGGCCTGTATTTGGGATCCTTGGGCTCTAGGCAGGGTCTCCAGATCATCACAGACGCCAGAAAGGAACCAGAGTTCAAAAGGAGGACTGCCTGGCTGCTGGCCTAGTTACCCTCTTCACGGCTCATTTCCTCTTGCCTGTGTGCACCCACAGCTCCCAGCTCGGGGACCACTGAAGCTGAAGCCCTGTGCAAGCCCAGCCAATGAAGCAGTGACTAAGCCCCAAGCCCTGCTGCCTGGGTGACCTGGTCCACACCAAATAAGCCAGTGATGCCCACGTGTTTCCCCTAGGCTTCAGACCCATAGAGTCCCATTCCTACCTGATGTCTCCACTTGGGGTCCTACAGGTAACTCAGATTCAGCATGTCAAAACCGATCTCATTGTCTCCCCACAAACCTCCTCCTGTGCTCCTGATTTGGGCAATGACCACCCTTACCTTGGCTCTCCCAAGGCAGAAACCTGCCGGCCACCCCCTGGCTCCTCCCCTTTTCCACCCCCACCCCCCCAATCCTGGAGCCTTTCCCTTGGGCAGCAGCCCAGACTCCCCCAGCCTGTACCTTGGGCATCTTGCGCAGGTTGGGTGAGAGCTTGAGGCAGGTGACGTGCCCACGGTCGTCACCCACAATGATGATGGGGTGGATGGGATTGAACTGCACGTGGGTGATCTTGTTCTTCTTTTTGGCCACCACGGGCTGGTTGCAGATGGCCTCGTACTTGTTGATGGACAAGTCAAACACGTGGGTCTGTGGAGAGGTGGGTGTCAGCATGTCAGCACACTCAGGGGTCAGGAGGCCCCTGTCCCCCACCTCAGAGGACCCGCCCCCGGGCCTTCTGGGGAAACCCAACAGAAGCCTGGCACAGTGGGAACTGGAAGCAGGGTGAGAGCAGATTTGTGTCTCTGTTTGTGTTTTTCTTGTGTTTGAGGGAATGAGAATAAAAAGTTCAGGAGAAAATTTAAGTCTATACAGAATTAACAACAACTGCAGCTACTGTGCATCGAGCACTTACTCTGTAGTATTCTCTGCATGAGCACGGTACAGGGCATATCTAGTCATAATCCCCACAGCCACTCTATAGGTGGGTTCTGTTATTATCCCCATTTTATAAACGAGGGGATAGAGGCTAACAGATGAGAGGTGCTCAGACAGTGCTTGCCACGCAAGTGCTCGGCAAGTGTTTGATCTGACTTCTACCACGCCCTGAGTCCAACCCATTAGCAGCTGCTGCCTGGACAGCGAGGTAACATCTGACTGGCCTCCCTGCTTCCATTCCTGCCCTCTCCAGTCCAGCCTCCACGCGGCAGACTGACTGACCTTTAAAAAACCTGAAATCCTCCAAGAGCCTCCCTTGGCACCCTACACAAAACCCAGATCCCTTCCTCTAGATCCCCCACTCTCCACTCTCACCTCACACTCCCTCCTCTTTGTTCACTAGACCCCAGCCAGAACCCCCAGGGCACTCGCAGGAGCTGTTCCCTCCATCTGGAATGCCTCCCCCATCTTCACACGGCTGGCTCTTTCTTGTCATTCGCTCTCAGCTTGAATGTCACCTCTTCAAAGAAGCTTTCCCTGACCACTCTATCTAAGAGACCACCCAGGCCTTTCCTTTTACGTCACTCTCTTTCTCTCTCTCTTTAAAAATATAACAGCTTTATTGAAATATAACTCACATATTATAAAATTCACACATTTAAAGTATACAATTCCTGGTTTTTAGTATATTCACAGTTATGCAACCATCACCACAACCAATTTTAGAACATTTTCATCACCCCAGAAAGAACCCTTGTGCCTATTAGCCGTCATTCTCCATTTGCTCCCAACAGCCCCGGCCCTGGGCAACCACAGTCTACTTTCTGTCTCTATAGATTTGCCTGCTCTAGACCTTTATAAATGGAAGCATCCAGTGCGGGGTCTTGTGACGGGCTTCTGGCACTCAGCGTGTTTTCAGGTTCATCCATGTTGTAGTATGTGTCAGTACTTCACCCCTTGGTATCACTGAATAACAGTCCTCTTGGATGGGCCACATTTGGTTCATCCGTTCATCAGGTGATGGACATTTGCACTGTTTCCACTTTTTGGCTATTATGAATAATGCTGCTGCAAACACCATATTCTCTTTGAATCCCTGCCTAGCACCTAACACTACGGGAGTTTTGTTGTTGTTGCTTTCTGTCTCTTTCCCTTCACCGGAGTGTAAGCCCTGTGACAGCAGGGACCTGATTCACCAGGCCCTAGCCTGGAGCTGGGCACCACAGTTGGTCCTTAGTAAACTCTGTTCAGCAGATGGATGATGGACTGACTGTAGGGTGATGTCTTAATTACCATATTCTCTCCTGGGGTAGTCGCCTCTCAGTTTATATCAAAGTCCATAAGGGAAATGGTTTGTGTCTAAGAATTCTCTCACAAAATGTTTGTTTCTGAGTGTTGCGTAGACCCCTGTCATCTCCCCTTCTCAGACTCAGCTTGCATACTCCCAGGGATGGGGACTTCGCTACCTTTTAGACACTATTTTAACTACAGATCAACTCTGGCTCATAAGTTTTTCCTTACATCAGGCTAGTCCCTGCCACCTTGTCGTTTCCTCCCCAGGACCCTGAGAGAAGATAACTGCTCCTCATGACATCTTATCCCCCACAATGCCCTCTCCTTCAAGGTGACCAGCCCCATTCTCTCCTCAAGACCTCAAGGGATGAATGATTTCTCTTTTGACAGGGCCCTGGGTGGCCTGGCCCTTGAGAATACACAGTCCTTCTGTCCCATCTTCCCTGCCTGACCTCTCCAGGAGGGAGACCCTGAGACACCTCATCCTGTCTCCAGTGGGGGCTCAGCAGGGTCAGGAAGGGGGCGCTCACCTTCCCATTGGTGGTGACTGCCGCAAACACAGTAGAAGAGTATGGTGCCCAGGCCACATCGCCCACCGCTGAATTTAGGTCATAGATGAACATCGGGGTCCTGCCAAGGTAGAAGGATGGAGAGCTCATGACACAGAAGGCTCACAGGCCAGGCCCCAGCCCAGGCTGGGCTGAGGGAGGGCATGCTCCTTACTTGATGGTGTGGTCCCAGATCTTCACTGTCCAGTCAGAGCTACAGGACATGAAGACCTTGGTGTGGTATGGGTTCCAGGACACAGCGTCCACTGCCATGTTGTGGGCATCATAGGTGTCCAGGAATTGGCTGGAGTAGGATTTAGAGCACTAGGGTGGGGGTCAGGGGTCAGGAGTGAGAGAGAGGTCAGCAGCCGTCACTTCCCTGGAGGGTCAGAACCTGAGACTCCTCTTCTGTCCTCACCCCACATCACTGTCACAGCTGAGCTGGGGCCAAGCGGCTGCTCTTCTCACTCTCAACACAACCAGAGAGAGAGGAGGGGCTTAAGGGACTCGGGGCGAAGATTCCAGGCCAGGCAGAAAAGGCCTTCTCTCCCTGAGCCAAGGCAGAGCAGGTCTGAGGGCCCTGGGTGGGGTGTGACCTAGCCTATGCCCAGGCCAAGGCCTGTGGACAGACAGACAGAGCCCTGGGTCCACCCACAGCCCACAGACAGAATCCTCGCAACAGTGATAAACACCCCACCTCGCCCAGGTAAGAGCAGGCGCTGAGCCAGGAGCAAGTTCCAATTTCATGATTTCCCATTGGGTTTCTTGCCCTGACCAGCAGGCCCCTCGCTCCCTTCCTCCAGGAGACAGAGTGAGTGACTAGTGTCTTCTTCCCTCCTGCCTCTCCCATCTGCCATTGGGAAGGAGGGGGGACCTCTTTTGCATTCAGACCAGCTCTGGCTGGGCCTCAGGGGCTCCCGGGAGGCTGTCTGTAATTAACATTCTGAGTCTCTGAGCCTAAGAAAAGCTTGCAGCAGAGCTATTTCTGGATGGACGGAGGTTCAGAAGGACATTCACCTACTAACACTGAGACCTTGCAGAAACTAGCCATGAAGTTCCGTCCTGCCGGCTAGGATGCACCCGGCATTCAGAGAGAAATTTTCTTGTTACCTGGCCTTCAAAGCTCAGCTCAAGTTCAGATCTCCTCCAGGAAGTCTTCCCAGAATGTTCCAACTTCCCCAACCCCCACACCCACTTCTACCTCCTCCGCTCCCAGGAAGAGAGGGAGGGCCCCCGCGGAAAGAGGCCAGGCTGGGCTAAAGTCACCCCGGAGGTCCGTCCTCCCCTTTCCTGCAGTCAGCCCCTCTTCCTGCCACCCCAGCAGGTCCAGAAATGCATTCTCTTCCCCCAAGAAGACTTCCAGAACTGATGAGCCCTAAGGTCTGTGAGAAGAGGGTCTGTTGAGAACGACGGGCTCCTGGGATGCTCTGATCTAGGCGGCCCTGTAGCGAGCTGGCATAGGGGCGGCCCTGCCTCACCTTGTAGATTTTCCCCTCCTCCGTGCCCACTAGGAACATGTAGTCGATCTCTTTGTGGAAGTCGAAGGCGGTGCCACAGCCTCGGGAGAAGAGGGAGCAGCTTTAGCCTGGTTCTGAGGGAGCCTCCCAGCACCTCCTCTAGCCAGCAGCCCCAGGACAGCCTGAGCCGGGCCCCTGTGAGGGCCGGGGCCAGCCAGGCCAATAGAGACTGGCCCTCTGGCCTGCTGCTGTCCCAGGCAGTCGGGACTCTGCAAACAGCCAGGCCTTCTGCAGACAGGAGTGGGGCCTGGGTAAACAGGGACACAGTCTGCATAAACAGGGTAGGAATTGAGTAAACAGGGACAGGGTCTGGGTAAACAGGGGCCTGATCTGCATAAACAGGGTTGGATCTGCATAACAGCACTTGATCTGCATAAACAGGAACAGGGTCTGCATAAACACGGAGGGTCTGCGAAAGGCCAAGGGCTGGGCTGGGCAGACAGGCTCTCCCATTACCCCTTGTCCAGCTCGGCACAGGTGGAGGTAGGAGTGCTCAGTAAGGGGTGGGCCACCATCACTGACCCTCACAGGGCCCGAGTGACCTGGGCAGGCCTCGATGTGCGTTGGTGGGGGGCTCCTACCCACTGTGTATAGCTGCAACCCCTCGAGACTTTCCGTGGTGCTGCCCTCCACCTTCAGCTTGATGACATCCGTGTGAACCAGCTCGCTCTGCAGTCACAGAGGGGTGGAAGAGGGCATGTGGGTTGGGCTGGATCAGCAGGGTTGGGGGTCCCTTTGCCATTCAGTTTCCCCCACTCCTATTTCCACCCCTGCACAACCCCTTCTGGGAAACAGGCACCTTCACAAGCGTCCAAGACACGATCCTGCCATCAGATGACACAGAGAAGAAGTTGAGGTTGTTGTCCATGTCATCCTTCTGCCACTTGACCTGAAATATCCCAAACTGTGAGCTCAGGGACACTGCTAGGTTGTTGAGTTAGGGCTGTCAGCTGAGCTGGGCTCCCTCAAGAACCCATCCGAGGTTCAGAGCAAGTTCTGGGAGCCCGTTTCCCAGAGTCCCACAATTGGCCCTCCCTCCACTCATCTCTGTCTCTCCCATCCCTCTCTCTCTGACCATCCTGGGGCAGCAGTGCCAGTCAGGACACTGCCCTAACCCATTGGCTCGGCAGTGGGGGTGCCCGATTCCTCCCTGGATTGAGTTCTAGACGCCTGGTTCTAGGGAAGAGGCCGCGGCTCTGGGTTCAACCTCCTCACATAGACAGGGCCTGGAAAGGAAACAGCCCATCAACCAGTTTCCTCGTTTATAAAACAGGAACCATAATAGGACAGGTTTGTTGTAAGGAATAAATGAGAACGTGACTAAGTCGTTAGGTCAGAACATTGCAAATATTGTGTTCGATAAATGATAGCTAATATCCTCATTGTTACCATCATCCTAGGAATTGGGGGGTTCTTTCCCGCTTTTTTAGGGGGTGGGGAGGAGCAGCCCCGCCCCCGCCCTCCTCTTCCAGGCTTGGCCCTTCTCTAGGCAATCTCTTCTCTGTTCCCACCTTCACTTTACCACTAGGTCTAGCTCCCAGAATCTTGCTCCCAAATCTCAGACTTGAGCTGCATTTCTCCATCTGCAAATCAGGGTTAATAATCCCGCCCAACCCATCTTCTCAGGGCTGGAAGCAAACATATGGGAAAGTGTTTTGGAGACAGAGCTGTTGTCTTATGAAGATGACACGCTTGAGGCTCAAGTTTCTGTTGCCAGATGTGGAGGCCCAGCCAAGCCGTGTCCTGGAGAGCTGGGGCGGGGCTGGGCACCCAGAGCTTTCCATTCTTCAGTTCCCTCCAGACCTCCCATGCTGGGACCACCGTCCCTTCCCCTGCCACAAGCAGAGGCCCAGTGAGGGACGACAGGAACCCAGTGTCACTGCCTGTACCACAGCTGTCACCATGGCTGTTGAGGGGTGTGGTGAGGGGGAGAAGGGACTGCCCCTCCCCAACCACCCCCCAGGCCTGCTGATCAGAGCTCACGAGGGCAGGCCCGGTCCTGCCCGGGCCCGTCTGGGCAGCCAGCTGTTTTGCACTTTTGCTGGGGGACCAGTGAGGCACAAGTCAGAGCCGCCCTGATGCTGAGACCACTTCCCCCTCTGTGTAAAGGTAGTCCCTTTAAAGCAGAGAGGGGACAGGGGGTGTCAAAGGCCAGGCTGTAAGAGGCGCTAGGGAGCTGCAAAGGGAAGTGTTTAATGAGCAGCCGCCAGCACACATGGAAATTGTATTTCACACCCCACTTAGCAGCCTAATGCCCAGTGGGGGGTGGTGTGTGTATTTGCAAGTGAGTGTGTATGTGTGTGTGTGCAAGTCCCACACGTGCTCCTGGGGTGAGGGTGGGAGGGTACGAATATAAGAAGGGGCAGGCGGTAAGTGGAGTTAAGCAAATGAATGAATGCCCAGGAGCAGGTGTAGGGAGGAGATGGAGCCTGCCTCATGGATTCCTTCTCTTCTGCCTTATCTGATTATGGCAGACCTGCCAGCTGCAGTCTCTGCGCATATATCCTTCCCGCTCCCTTCCCCAGTGTGGCACAGAACACCCCCCTACACACCACAGAGTGTTGGTGGTTGGGGCTTCACAGTGGGGCTTGAACAGGACCGGGACACCCAGATGGGCTCCTTGGGGAGCAGCCTGTGCCATGGGACAGGAAGCCATCCCCTCAGAATGGACAGTTCTCTCCCTGGCTCTAAAACCTTCCATAGCTCCCCGCCACCAACAGAACAAAGTCCTTCTGCCCCAGCTGGGCATGTGAGATCCAAAACAACCCCCGGGTCTCTGCCACAAGAAGGCCCTAGGCGCTGATGTCTCTGGCATCTCACTCACCAGCCCCGTTCTCCTTCAAGCTCCGGGCTTCTACAGCCAACTGCTGTAGGACACCTCCTCTGGCTTCTTGGATTAACTTCTGGCCAAACCTGTTCCTCTTCTGCCATTTCCCACCTCTGTGGATGCCCAACTGGGCCCCCCAAACCAGAGTGCCGGGCAGCATCACCCGTTCTTCCCTTTTCCCACATCTGGTGGGTGGTTTCCTTCTACTGGCTGCGCCGCCTCGACAGCTCTCAGCCGTCTTCTCATTGCCATCTCCCCTCCCCCTGCCGGAGCTCAGGCTGCAGCCAGAGGCTGTCTCTAGGACACAGCCATGCCTGCGAGTCTTCTCTGCCCCAAACCCCCTGATGGTTGGGCAGTGATTTTCAAACCAGGCTGGGGGAGCTCTTAGGAGCCTGTGAAAGCCCCTCAGGGGACAGGGGAGTGGGAACAGGGACCCTCAAGCAAGCAGGATGCAGATCCCAGCAGAGCGGCTCCACTCCCATCTTTTTACTCTATGGGCTCCGGTACTAACACATCACTTGAAACTAAGCTTCCTACTTGCTAGAGAAGCACACTCAGGACTGGGGGCCTCTGCTTTGTTCAGGTCCTGCTCCCCCTCCCCATCTCTCATACTGTGCCTCAAATGATGTGTCATTTCCTAGCAGGCCACTCTGCTGATGCCCCTGTGTCATTGCACATGTGACCACGCTGTACTCTTCTTCGTCTAAGTAATGTGTCCTCAGCCCTCAACATTCAGCTCAGGTGTTGCTCCCTCTAGGAAGACCTCTCTGGCTCTCCTGCCCCTGCTCCCCATCTCGGACAGTCTGGACACCCCCCTCAGTGCCCCCAGCAGCCGTCTTTAGCACTTAGCATACTGCCCTGTCCTGTTCAGCCTGTGGCTGTGGTTATGTCCCCACCAGGAACTCCAGAGACCAAGCCCTTAGCAGCTCCCAGAGGAGCAAAGAAGGAAGAGCGACTGAACAGGCATGACCAGGTGGAGGCGTGAGGAAGGGGAGGGAATGAGAGGGAAAGAAGGGGACCGAGGAGACAGGCAGGCCCACCCATCTCACAAGCCATGATTCCAGCCAAGAACTTCGAGTGTTTGGTTTTGCAAAGGCAGCAGCCCTGTGGGAGAGCAGAAGGCCACCTCCATCCAGGTGGGCTCCAGTCTCCCCGGCACCGGCCCAGTGAAAGGGATCATTGTCTTCTGCCTGCCCCATTTCTTTCCCTAACCTGCGTGCGATCTGATTCAGAGAACATGGCAGAGTGGGCGTCGGGTGGTCGGCCTCGGCCCCTCGCCCTCTTCTGGGCTTGAGGAGGGTGGTCAGGCCAACCAGAGATGTACAATGTTTGGCCCTGGGCTGTCTGAGCTGGGAGAGCTGGGGCAGGACTGGTGCTGGTTCAGTATGATCAAAGTGGGTCTTTTGGGGCCGGCCTGGCAGTGTAGTGGTTAAGTTTGAGCACTCCGCTTCAGTGGTCCAACGTTCGTGGGCTCAGATCCAAGGCACAGACCTACACGTGGTTCATCTAGCCATGCTGTGGTGGCACCCCGCATACAAAATAGAGGAAGATTGGCACAGATCTTAGCTCAGGGACAATCTTCCTCAAGCAAAAAGAGGAAGATTGGTAACAGATGGTAGCTCAGGGCCAATCTTCCTCACCAAAAAAATGAAAGAAAGAAAAAAGTGGGTATTTTCTCCTCTCCCTGGGCTTTAAAGTCTCTGCAGTCATCCTCCCCGTGTCTGGAGACCTCTGTGTGCCCAGAGGATAACTAGGCTTTTCAGAGAAGAGGACTCCAGAGGCTGCAAGCTCTGGCCCTGCTTTGGTGAAGCGTGGGGGGAGGGCATTTAGGGGGAGGGGGTGCCTCCCTCCCTGTGCCCTGGCTCTGGGCAAAGGATGAAGCTGAGAGCCACCGCATCCCCTGTGTCTGGACAGTCCTCCCTCTGCTCATGCCTGTCTGGCAGCTGAGAGCCAGTGCCTGGGGCAGGTGTCCGCATGACTCAGCTTAGGGCCAGGAAGGCAGGGGTGCAGAGGGGGAAGAGAAGACAGAGGCACAGCACTGCCTGACGAGCCCAGAGGCCTTGGGCCACTTGAGGCAGAAATCCATCCTTAGATTCTCCCAGACCTGCCCGTGGGGTAAGGATGCACAGCCTCAGAAGGAGGAGGACGTTAAGAACACAGTGAGGGAGGGCCTGCAAAGCCAGAGCTGAGAGGGAAACTGTGAGATCCATGCCCAGTGCACGAAGATGGGAGACACAGAGTTGGGGTGAAACCCGGGCACATTGTCCAGAAATGGCCCCATTCTGTGCCTTTCTGGAGAAGAGGGGTATACAGAGAAGCCCCAGGACAGACCTTACCTACCAGGCCTTACAGCCCCCCAAGAGGGTAGACAACTGGCAGACCCCACCCCTGTCTGGGAGTCCCCTAAATCTAGCCCAGGAGACAGAGGAGAGCCCCTGTGGGGAGTGGAGGAGCCCAGAGACGGGGAACTGAAGCCCTTGAGACACTCAGCAGAGGCCTGTCAAGCCCTGGAGTCTTCCAGCCACAGGCTCTGAGTCACCAATCACCAGCCCTAAGAGGTCCTCAGCAGACAGATGGGCCTCCTGATGGGAGCTCTGGGCAGCAGAGCCCAGCTCTTACTGCAGACGCGCTTACCTCCTGATTCTTGCCTGCTGCCCCTCTCTGCCCCTTCTTGCACCCAGCCCCTCGGCCTCTAAGCTGGTACTTGTCATCCCCACCGCCTTGCTCGTGGCCTCTCCTCCCCCAGCTCCCTCCTCCAGTGGCTCCCAGGCCCACTGGCTACTCATCCATACCCACTTCTCCCATCCTGGTTGGAGGCTGACCTGCCACACAGGGTCCGTGTGCTTGCCAGACTTGGCCGAACTGCGGAAGGAGGGCTGGGAGTGGGGCTTCTTGAGGTTGTAAATGGCCACGTTGCCATCGTAGTGGCCCACCACCACCAGGTAGGGGTGGTCCACGTGCATGTCCAGACACATGATGCCGCTCTCGCTGCTGAAGATGTATTCAGGGAAGCTGGGATTCTTCATGCTGTAGAGCAGCAGCATGCCCCGGCTCTGCTTCATGAAGTCATCTGCCTCCAGGAAGATGGGCAGCTGTGAGTGGAGGATCCAGCTTCCCCTCTGGGAAGCCCCTGTGCCCCTCCCCCATCGCAGGGACAAGCCCTGCCCTGCTCTGCCTCTGTCATAGAGCATGGGATTCCTCTCTGGACTTCGTCTTCTCTGTCTGTGAGACGGAATCATGAGACTTGGCCTACCCCTTCTCAGGGTTCATGGAAGGATCCAAGAGATAAGGTGACCAGGCTTATCTGGGGACAGCCAGCCATTCTCCCTATTTTCTCTGGGGTACAAGAAAGGGGGATGCAGGCTCAAAGGGTTGCTAGGTGAAGAATGTGTGTGGGTTTGGGAAGCAGCAGCATTCTCAGAGATGCCTGGCCCAGGGGCAGGTTGCTGTCCTTAGATGCCTGGATAATGCTCATGTGTCCCCCACCCCCAGCCGAGGACAGGGGTTCAGTTTGGACTAACACGGAATTGTCTATATGAGTCTCCAATTCCCCGCTTGTGGGCATCTTCCCATACCCTCTGGCCCCGCAGTCCCCAGTTGCAGCCTGAACCCTAGCTCTAGGACGCTCTGAGGATTGAGAAGTCCCAGGCTAGCCAGTCAGGCTTCCACAGGCCACAGTGCCATCCTTCTGGCCAGGGCACAGGTTTGGTGATCAACAGAGGAGCACTCGGCAGACATGACAGTGCCCGCCCCATGTCAAGAGGGTGCCTCCCGCTCTTTCTTTCATTCTCTGCACGTCCTGATAAGGTAGTCACCGAACAGAATCCAGCCCCAGCCTTGAGTCCAGCTCTCCTGCCACCAGCCCAGGACCCTTCCCAAGCTCAGAAAACCAGAGCTGGCAAGGTGGAAGGTAGAGCAGCCTCCATTTGGGGGGGGCCCTATTATGCTAAGGCAGCTCTTTAGCTGAGATGAGGGCCCTCCCCCTGACACAGTGGTCAGGAAGGAAAATGCTTCTGCTTTGGGGAAAGTGAGCCTCTTGCCAAGAGGAGGAGCTGGGGGGCTTCCAGTTGCCCTGGAGCCAAGTCTGGTCACCCTGGGCCTGGCACTATCTCAAAGCCAGTAGGGAGCCGGCCTTGAGGTGGGGGTGGGGAGCTGGCAGAACCTCACCCCATGGGGCTCCAGAGTGGGCCCCGAGGGCTAACTCTTGAATGGGGAGATCTGCAGCTGGCTGGGCTCCCACCCAGACCATGAAGGGCTTGAACCGGGCAGTGTGACTGTTGCTTGTAGCTCCTTTTGTTCATCACACAAATCCTGAGCACCTGACCTGGGCTTCCCCCTGGGCTGGACCCTGGCAGGGACAGGGACACTCGACTCAAGATGTGGGCTTGCCCTCAGCAGCCCCCGATGTGATGAGAGAGCCAGGCCCTGCAGCCGAATGAGGCAAGCCCCTCGTCTGACTGCCAGGCCAGAGGTGAGCTGCTAGTGCCCTTGATGTCCAGTCTGTCCTTGATGCTGGCCAAGGCTGCAGAGGGTGAGTGGGTGGGCAAAAGAGTGGATGAAAGGGTGGCTAGGTGGGTGACCGATGCTCTGGCTGAGGACTCAGATCTCTCCTTCCTGCACCAAGGGGCAAAAGTGGGCATGACCCTCACTCTTGCTCTCATTGTGGCACTGGACCTGTCCCATTGAGGAGCAGCAGTGATGACTCACTTTCTCTAGACAGACTCCAAGCACCCCCTGCCCCTGCCTGGGCACACAGAGCCTTCATGACCAGTGAAATCAGGAAAGGAGGGCAGGAGACCCTAGGCTGGCTTAGCAACTCTGGAATGAGGACATGTCTGACCTACTCACAGAACCAATGGGTCTAGAAGCTGGACTTATGGCCCCTGATTTTATAGATGGGCAAATGGAGGCCAGAGGGGAGGAGTGGTGTGCCCAGGAGCATGAGACCCATCACATGGTGTTTGCCACGCCCTATGTCCTGTTTATAGCTGAAATTACCACCGCTCAGAGTAATGGCACTAATCTGGTCGTTACACGGAGGTGGAGAAAGGAGGGGGAAGGGGCATCAGACCTACTAGGGTGGTGGCGGCTGGCAGAGCAGACCCAATCCCTCTAGAATCTGGACTGGAGACTGTGTAAGGGGCTTGGCAGTGAAGCGTGGTAAGAGGAAACTTCTGGCAGAGAGAAGCATAGATTTCATGAGACAGGGACACAGAGAGCACCAATCCCATGAAGGCCTTAGCTCCTGCCTTAGCTCCCAGGCCACAGGCGTCCTGACAGTGAGCCTGCCTGTCTGAACCTGGCTCCAGTGGTCTCTGTTACTTGCAACCAAATGAGCCCTCCCGGCATAAAGATCACAGCTTCTAAGCATGGCTAGACTATGTGTTTGCTGAATTCCAGTTCAGGGCTCTGTCTGCCAAACGGCACCAGGAAAGCAGAGAAAACACTCCTTTAACTAGGGGCTTCCTCTCCACTCCATCTTATTCTATGATCTTATCCCTGACTCCAGGGGCCCCTGTGAGACCTCACTATTCCATTCTCTAAGTATACCCAGTGTGACATCACAGCCCAAACCTCCAACAGTCCCAGCGTGACATCATCATCCTGTCTTCCAAAAGTCCTAAAATGACATCACTACTCAGACCACCAATGGTCCCCACATGATAGCATCACTCAGGCTACCAGCAGCCTAGTGACATCATTTCCCAACTCTCCAACATTCCCAGCACGATATCACCAGCTAGGTCACCAGCAGTCCCGGTATGACCTTGGCATCAAGGTCACCCACAGTGCTTCAGTTCTCTGTGAGGCTATAATCCCAGCAGGCTCAGGGCTTGCAGAGCCTCAGTCCCTGGGCCCTGGGGCACTTTGTCCTGAACCCTGCAAACTCCCTGGCACCTCAAAGCAGGACTGGAGGGTCCAGTGACACAGATGGGAGCCCCCACCCCCACACTCCATTGTATAGGGAGACAGAGACTCTGAGGTCTGGGGCAGCACAGGAATTCCAGGTTCCTCCAGGCCACAGGATTTCAGTAAGTATGTGTGTCTGGGTAGAAGGGAAGGAGGAACAGAGGAAGGGAAAGAGGGAGGGAGGGGAAGAGAGAGAGACCACCTCTCTGTGACCCTGAGACAGGAGTGAGGTCTGCAGCCTGATCTTAGCTCCCCTGCTCCATTTTGCTGTTTTGCCCTTCTCCAGGAAGGCTTCCAGACCATTCAGCCCCCAGACTCTCTCCTCTGTGAGCGCCCCCCCCCCGAGGAACTCCTCTACCTGTGTCTCATTATTCTGAGTGGTCGTGAGCAGGTCTTTTCCTTAGCCTGCCGCCAAAGGATGGAGTGAGCATGGCCTGGCGTGGCCCAGCAGGCCTGCTCTCTCCAGAAAAGGGCTGCCCCCTGCTAACCCTCATCTCCTGGATAATCTCTAAGGCCTCCCTGCCTCTGATCTTCAGTGATGCACAAGATTTTGGGGAGGAGAATCAACAACCTACTAGAGCCTGATCTGGCAGTTCTTGGAAAGCCATGGTCTCACGGGAGGGGAGACTTAATTCCACCAAAGACCACAGCTCTCCCTGCCCTCAGCTCCCTCTGCTGGGGCCCTGGCAGAGTAGTGCCCAGTGAGAGCACGGATGGATGTCCTCTCGAACTTGCAACCACCAGTGGGGGCCTCGGCCCCACAGCTCCACCACTGTCCTGCAAGTAACAGATTGTTGGGGGCCACTTTGGAGAGTTCTGGCTGTCAGGAGAAGCCTGGGCTCCTGCTCAGGGTTCCAGGAGGGACAGGCAGGCAGAGGGCACGTTGGAGCATCAGGCTAAAGCCAGGTCAGTGGTCAGAGGGAAGTGGATGCCAAGCTGCAGAGACAAGGATACCAAACCAGCCTCGGACAGTGGCTTCCTCTTCTCTTACGGTGGCATCCAGAACGAGTCCAGCCCAGGGCTGGCTCCAGTGCAGCTATTTAACAACTCCCTCATTGAGTCGTGTAAGAGGCACTGGGAGGGGGGCTGTGGTAGGCAGAATAATGGTCTCCCCAAAGATGTCCATGTCCTAATCCCAAGAACCCATACATGTGTCACTTTGCAAGACAAAAGAGATTTTGCAGATGTGATTAAGTGAAAGACCTTGAGATGGGAGATGATCCTGGATTATCCGGTGGACCCAGGGTAATCACAGGGCTCCTTGTAAGGGAAAGAGGGAGGCAGGAGAGTCAGAGAAGGAGATGTGACAACAGAAGCAGGTGTCAGAATGATGCAATTGCTAGCTGGAAGCGGGCCACGAGCCACGGAATATGGGCAGTTTCTAGAAGCCAGAAAAGGCAAGGAAATGGGTGTTCCCCTAGAGCCTCCAGAAGGAATGAAGCCCTGCTGACACCTGATTTTTGCTCCGCGAAACCCATTTTAGACTTCCGACCTCTAGAGCTGTAAGATAACGACTATGGATTGTTTTCAGCCATCCTGTTTGTGGTAATTCGTCGCAGCAGCCACAGGACATTATTATAGTAGGCATTCAGGGAAGGTTGACCCAAACTCTACTTTTAGGAGTCAGAGGGAGAGGACCTCATAGACGGCCCTTTTTCCTGGGATGGTTTGGAAGTAGTCCCTCTAGAAGTTAGGGCGGGTGGAGCAACGATCCTCAGCTGTTCTGATGACACTAATGAACCCTCCCTTATTTTCCCATGCCCCAGCCCTGCTATCTTGGACTCCAGGAACAGAAATGCCCCTTGGGTTAGGATTTCCATAGTTTCCAAAGGCAGGGGACTAGCCCAATCTGCCCCAAGAAAGGGCATCAGTCCTAGAGGGTGCCCGATGTCCGGCGGGGCCCAGAGGCCATGGTGCCAGACTGGGTTCCGCTTCCCAGGAAACTGGGCTTTTCCAAGCACTGTCATCTGAATAGAAGTCATATTTAAACAGTGTGGGAAATAAGAGCAAGGCCTTGGAGACAGAATACATCAAGCGGGACATTTAATTTGATTTAGGGAAAACGAAGCAAACATTTGAGAACCTAAATAACTAACCAGTAATTAAACTCACGATGGGAATGCCCTCACTTACAACCCGGCGAGCGTGGTGGCCTTTATGGACTGTATTTACAAAGAGACCTGACAACATAATTAGTCCTGTAAATTTTACGCAGCCTGCAGCCGAGGAGTGATGGATTTTGTGTGTGGAGGATGAACGGGGAGAAATGAGGTGGATGAATTTCCATTTTCGGTAAATGAAATTAACACTGCTTAATTAGCAAAGCTGACAAATAAATGATCAGGAAAGATTTAAATCCCTACAGTCGTATCTTTGGCATGGGCAGGCTCAGGGACGGGCCAGGATGTGGTGGGACAGAGCGGGAACAGGTCGAGTGCTGGGACTCAGGGCCTGACTCTGGCCCTTTCTGAGGGTGCTGGCCCCGGAGGGAGGCTGGGCTGAGGGACAGCTGGCTCCTCTGCCTTCCACGACATGGCCCACTGGGAAGCTTCCTCCCCATCTCCTGTGACCACATAGGGTTTCCAGGATCTGTTCCACCATCCCTGCCCAACAGACCATGAGGAGTCCCCATTTCCCGGCTATGAACTGGCTAATGGGCTGGAAAGGACCCCTTCAGTGCAGCAGGCTGACATAATTACATCCCAGCTTTGCCCCCGGGGCCATCTCTTCCTGGACCAGCTTCCTCTGCCTCCCAATGTTCTTCCATCTGCTTTCGCCTGCTGACGGCCTCTTTCTCTACTCTGGGGAGACGTGGAGCCTGGCCCTAGGGGGCACCCCAGTCTCTTCCCTGGACGCAGCCTGCTATGCCCACCACCTGGTACCCAGCAGCCCCAGAAGGGAGACAGGTACGAAGGATTCTGTGCTGTTTCAGGCAACTGCCTGGACCCCCTTTCCCACCTCTTGCCCCTGGCCTGGCTCTAGCCAACCTGCCCTGTCCCCAAAATAGGAGACTGGCCCCAGTCCTTCCTAGGGTACATGCCTACCCCTGTCAAAGTCTTATTTGGCTGGGTCACAAAATAAATGTCTGGGAATTCTGGGCTGGGCTCATCAGGGTCAAATCCAACAGCAAACCCAAATCCTCACTCAGCATTTGTCTACATGAGGCAAAGTCTGATGCTGGGAGGCTGGCATCTGGGAGCTTCCAAAGACAGTGTGATGGATGCTGACGAGCCAGCTGCTCCTCACAGTGACCCCATCTGGTAACAAGGGTGCCCTTTGCCTGCTTCAGCTTTGCCCTCTTTCTTCCAGGGAGGTACCTGGCACTCAAGAGCACAGGACTCCCAGAGGCAACCTCAGCAGTGAGTGCAGGGGTCCTTCTGCATCCCAGCCCTGCCCGGCTCTGCTCAGGCCTCTGCAGAGTGGGACCGAGATATGCAAGCTCTGGAGAACAGAGGCCTGTCTGAAAGCTGGTCAGCTCCCCTGCAAGTGACAGCAACAGCAAATACCACCGCACCGCCACAATGAGAGAGGCCGCTGCTCTCTGAGAGTCGGTAGGGGCTCGTCTGATCCCCCTCTGTCCTCACAGCCCCCTCTCTCAGCGAAGACCCCCCAAGGGACCTGCAGGAAAGCTGGGGGCCAGAACGACAGACAATCAGCGATGATTGTCCTTTCCGTGTGGGTGGTTCCCACGGCTCACAGGGCACGTCTGCTGCCTTTCTTTCCAGTGTGCCTCACAGCAGCCCTGGGATAGAGAGCTGGCAGGTGTCAGTCTCTCTACAACACCAACGAGGGAACCACGGCTCAATGAGGCTTCTGGCCCCAGGTTGCAACACTGGGGAGTGACATGCCAGCCAGAAGGTCTGCAGCTGACTGTGGCACCACCCAGGCATGTGGATGTGGCTGAAAGGACCAACAAAGGACAAAGAGACCCTTCCTGGGCACATGCCTGCCCAAAGGAGGCTGCAGGGGCTTGGGAGTAAATGAAATCGGGCTTGGGGTCATCTATCCTTGGGGGGGTGGTTACCCTTCTCCGCTGCTCCTGGCTAAGGCTGCCCCCATGGAGTCTCCACACAACTCCAACCAGCCGACCCTGCTCTGGCCCTGGGTGGGAGGAGGACGGGACTGGAGCTGAAGCCAGCTCTCCTCCCCCCTGCTGGGGAGCCCCCCACACCCCCACCTCAGTGCTGGGCAGAGAGCCTGGACTGAGAGCAGCCTCTCAGGGGAGTCCACACCCACTCCTGGGAGGGCCTGCCCAGCCCCCAGGCCCTGTTCCAGGCCCAGTAGCTGCAGCAGAGAAGGAGGAATGTGCTAGTTCCCTGCCAAAGGGGGAGGGTGCTTCCCACTTGGCAGCAGCCCACCTAGAAGCAGGGACACAAAGCGGGCATTTAGGGCATCCTCAAAGGCGGCCCAGACCGCGAGACCGGGAGCAGCTCCAAGGCCTCCTCCTTGAGAGGAATGACAAACACCAACTCCTCCTTGCCTACCCGCCCCCCGTCCTCCACCCTGGTCAAAGAATGGGCTGGGCGGGCAGGCGGTCTGAGGGGCAGAGACCAGGAGCTTGTATGCCTGCCAGCCAGCAGCAGCTTGGAGAATAGAAAGGTTTTTCTGTTCGCAGAAGCTGGTGCTCCCAGCCAGAGAACAAGCTGTTAGCCTGGGGAGCTGCGGCTAACGCGAAGTGTGGGGCCCTCTCCCGTTAGTAAGGGGGATCGTCCAGGCCAGTGGGGAGGCAGGGGCTTCGGCAGGGACCAAGGAATATGAAGGGAAAGCAAATCCAGTTACCACGGTGCTGCCTCCTGCTGGGTGGACTGGCAGGGCCGGCAACACCCTGAGCGACAGTGGTCTCCCAGAGCTTGGGTCGAAGGGATGGACAGCAAGCTCTACCCCTGCCTGCTCTGGGGCCTGACCAGGAAACACTCCTCCCTCAGCCCCACCATCCATCCCTCGCCAGGTCTGCTCCAGTCTACCTTCACAGGCCTTTCACACCAGCTTCTCCATCCCTACTCCACAGTCGGAGTTCACACCCTGCCATCCCGCCTCGGGACGCCTCACGTCTCCTGACTGGTCCCCTAGCCTCCGGTCTCATGCCTGCAATTGCCTCCTGCACTGGCTGTGTCCCTGCCCTCTTCAAATTCCTCCAGGGGTTTCCCTTCAGGAGAAGATCCAGGCTTCTTGGAATGGCTTACTACGCCCCCTGGGGGCTACCCTGGCCCAGCAACCCTTCCTTTCCTCCCTCTGCATACGCTGGCCCCTCTGCTGGAAGTGTTTTCCTCCTCCTTCTTCACCATAGTAACTCCTTAAAAAAGGCTCCTTTTGGCATATTTCCTCACCCAGCACTAATTGCTGGTGTGACTGTCGGTCTTCCCCATTAGACTGTGTGCCCCGTGAGGGCAGTGACTCTCTCCTAGTCATCTTTGTATGCTTCACACCTGGCAAAGAGCTCTGCGCTGAGTAGGTACTTAGTGTTTGCTGGTTGAATGAGCAAATGAATGAAGAGCCAGATCACTTACAGGAGCCATGTCCCACTGCAAACAGATCGTTGTACTTTGGATTCCTGCAAAAGAAATATGAAGCCATTGGCCCAGGAAATGGACATGGCTCTCCCATGCACACGGATTTTCCCGTGAACACTGGTGCCTCACTACACTGCAGACGTCTACTGTCGACCTTAGAGACCTGGGCTGATCCCACAGTCCCAAAAGAATCCCAGTCCCATTTTTTTTCCACAATGCTATGTGTCACCCTCAGGGTGGCTAAGCGCAGTGGAAGTGCCCTGCTCAGGGCTTGGCACCCTGCTGGCGCTCAGGGTTCTTCCGGGGTGCTGCCATGTCTATACTCACCAGCAGAGGGCGGTGACGGCCAGGCGCTTGGCTTTGTCATTTTGGAACTTCCAGAGCGGCAGCAGAGTACCCTCCTGGTCCCGGTATTCGTCAGCAGCATCCTCGTAGTACTTAAAATCTTAAATACACACAGCTGAGTCAGCCCTGAGACGGCCACTTTATGACAAATCCAGGTCTGCCACTTTGTCTTTACCTCCTTTGTCCAAAACAATGAAGCTCTTTGTGTTTCAGAGTGGGAATAGTAATAGTGCCTATCTCAAAGGACTATTGTGAAGATTAATTGGGTTAATATTTGTAAAGTACTTAGAAAAATACCTGGCACAAAGTAAGCACTCTATGTATGTTATTGTTACTGTTATCGTTGTGGTTGGAGGTAAATTACAATAAAGCCACCATGTCCACAGAGATAAAGTCCTGGGTTTGCCCACCTGAACTTGAGTTCTCTCCTGCCCTAAATTGTCCCTGCCTCCCATTTCCTCTAACTTAGGTAGAAGCCCCATCTATCCTTCCACTTGTCTGAACCAGAAACCTAGATATCCTTGACTGCTTTCTTTCCATCATCTCTCATATTTTCCTTCTGGTTATCTTTTTAATCCATTCACTTCTCTCCAAACCCATAGCCACTACTCAGGTTCAGGCCCCAGTAGCCATGGCTTGGATTATTACACCATCCTCCTAACTGGTGTCCCTGCCTCCAGTGACTCCCCCTCCGGTCCACGTTCCACAGAGCTACCAGCGTGAGAACCAATAAATCACCTCACCACACACCTCCTTGCCCCACTGAAAACCCCTCGATGGCTGCCCTTGAACAGGGCACCCCGGTCAAACCACAGCTCCAGGCCCCTGCTTCCGTGTCATTTCCAGCCAGCTGTCCACATACCCTCTACATCAAATAGTGTCTGAAATGTCCTGCTCCTCCATCTTCCGGGCAAACTCCTACTCACTCCAGATCCAGCTCAAACTCCTTCTCCCCCGTGAGGCCTTCTCTCTCTTGGTGAGCAGAGTTCATTGCTTCCTCCGTTCCAGCCCTGTGCCTCTCCTCTACTGAAACATCTGTCACACTGTGTCGCTTCTATTTATCCTTTTGCCTGTCTCCCTCGTCAGACAGCTCCTGGAGAGCAGGAAGCATATTAGATTCATCTCTGGGCCCACAGTGCCTAGCACAGGGCCAGGCACAGAGCAGACCCCCAATGACTGTTCAAAGAATGCAATGAAATAAATCAGAAGTGAATTGGTTCTAGTCTTCTCTCCAACCAAGGGTGATCCATTAGAAAATGAATCCTCTCATCTAACATGGTCAAGGACAAGCTGAGGCACAGCCTGATCTCTCTCACAGTGCCCCACACCTTGAGGCTGTGGGACTATATTCAAACCTCAAAAATGTCTCAGAGCAAAGAAAGATTCGAGTGGTCAGAGGCGTGAGCCTGGATCAGATCAAGGATCCTTGAGCTTGGGCCATCTTTGAAAATACCTAATTTCAGAAAGGAGATTAATTGGTAACACTTCTCTATTTTCACTTCTTCATGATTACACTTTCTCAAAGGGAAAAGAGTATGCAATTAAAAAATCAAAGTTCAATGCATTTTTATGTGACTGTGTTCTTACAAATGAAAAAGGTTCGCCACGGCCAGTTTCTCCATGGGTATTAATCATGCTTGCAGCCCTTTGGTGGGCTGGCTGCAGACGCCGGGTTTCAGGAAGCCAAGCTGTGTGAGTGACAAATTCATTCACAGCTGCTGTGTACTTTGACAGCTTTGAAAAGCACTCAAGGTCGTTTTCCAGCCTGAATGATAACAAGGGGGCTTGTCTGGGCTGTGGGTCTTGGCAGCCCTGGCTTCTATGTCCCATGGGTGAGCAATGAACATCAAGTCACCAAGAAGAGTGCTGGGCTGTCAGCAACAGAGACCAGCCAGCAGCGAGGAGCTGCCAACTCTGGGGAGGCAGCTGCTCCAAATAAATGCACAACCTCTTAGGGAAATACGGGCCACTTGGGAATGTGCTGTTCATGCCATGGGAAGGATTCCGTTTCTCTGGCTCTGTCAAAGACACCAGAATTTCCCAGGCCCACAGGACTGAAGCGTTTCTGAATCAATCTCTTTCTTCACTCCATCACTAATTAATCACCAACATAGAGCTATTGAATGTTTATTTGAAATGTCCCTTCCAGCCCACTGGCTCTGTAGCCTAGTGCAGAGCGCTCAGGCTGTGGATCCAAAGGGCCTGTGTTCGAGTCTGGATTCCACCACTCAAACCTCATAGGAGCTGTGATTTTGAACAAGTGGGAACATTTTAGTCTGAATTTCTCGTCTATAAAACAGAGATAATAATGGTGTTTACCTGACAGTATGGCTGTCAGGATGAAATAAAATAATATGGATAAATTGCATAGCACAATGCCTGGTACACAGGCCATTCCCAGGGAATGCTGGTGCTTGTTTTTCCCTGTGATAACTGCTCCTTTTTCTCCATCCCCTGGGCTGCAGTCTGTGTAAGGAGCGGCAAGGCCCACGCCACCCCACACCCGAAACTCCCCTTCCCCTCTGTCCCTGGATTCTGCCCAGTGCCACCCTCCTCCAGCCCTGCTCTCATCAGGCTGTGTCCCTGCCTGCACAGGATCTTTAAATTGTCTGCAGAGAAAGCTCAGATTCCCTGCGCGATAGTCGAGGCCCTTCATTAACTGGCTTCAGCCACCTCTCCAGCCCAAACTCTCACCACTTTCTAACAAAGTCCCTGTTTGGGTCACGGAGCCTGCTGCCCCTTGTCCCCAGAGTCCATTCCAATTCATTTTCACCGCCAAGTCACGGCTTGTGCTGCGTCCTGCCCAGAACGTCTGCCCTTCTGCTAATCTCCCCTTCAAACTCTGCTTATTGCTCGGCTTCCAGCTCAGGCCTCCCTGAAGACTTCGTTGACTGCCATCACTCATCCCTCATTCCCTTCTCCCATTCCTGAGGCTCTCAGAGTAGTTTCTGTCATCCAGTGCATCCTAGGCATTTATTGTCTCCAAGCTGGACTGAGCAGAGAACAGAGCACAGAAGAAGGAGGCTCAGGACCTAGATCTGGGGCCTCTCTGCTGTTCACTAGCCAGGCGGCCTTGGCCTTAGCATCCTCATGGGTAAAGTTGGGGTAATAATCTCTGCTCCGCCTGCCTCCCAGGGCTGTTGGGAAGATGACATTGGATCAGTGGTGTACAGGTACTTTTTGCTACGCCATTGCCAGATCTCATCACTACATCCATTGCTTCTTATGCCATTGTCCATAATCGACCTGTGTAAGCCTTGTCTCTCTAGTGACATCCAGAGGAGGCAGGGATTATTTTTTCTCCCTTGTACCTATAGGACCCAGCATGGGACAATCAAACACTCGCCTTGTATGGGGTATTTTTAATACAGGTAATAACAGTGGTTGCCAACACTTCAAATCTTACCTTGAGCAACATCATCATATGTGTTCTGGTTGACCATCCGCTCCACGATTTTAGCAGCTTGGGTCACTTTGGTGATATCATCACTCTGTGGGGATATAGAAGCCGTGGGTCCTCATAAGCCAGCACCTGGAAAGCTCATGCCCCGAGCCACAGCCCAGACTTGCAATTGGTTAGCAATGCCTCTCTGACACTGGCCACCCCAGATAGCTGTGTAAAGGCATCCCTGCATGCCGCAAGGCCTAGCTCACCCCACCACCCCCTTCTGGGAAGCCCCAGCTCACAAGTGGCACAAGGAGTCTGCACTTCCATACTTGGCCCCTGGACAGAGCCTGCCTCATGCTCTTCACTCTGAGCTTGTTCTGGAGAAGGCATATCTCTGTGCATAAGACAAGGCATTGAAGACACCTGGGAAGGGATTGGAGGGAGCAGACAATGGCAGGCGGAGGCTCCCTTGGTGGAGACAGACAGGCTTCGCTAGCTCAAGCAATGACAAAGACCCCTGTGAAAGGCCGCAGAGATCTTCTGGTCCAACTTATTTAGTCAAGAGTTTGGGAAGATGTGGAGGTCCAGAGAGGGGAAAGAGACGTGCTTGCACACAGGGGACACGAGGTAGGACTGACACCTAATCCAGGGCCCTGCCACCGCCCAGACCAAAGAGAAGGCAGGAGGAAAGAGTTTGGGGCTGGCAAGAAAGGCCCAAAGAGTTTAGGGCCGGTGGTAGGAGTGAACTAGCCAGGAGTGGGCAGCCCCCTGGAGCCCCAAACACTTTGCTGGAGTCCCCATGAAAAAATGGGGATGGATAATGGCACCTGCATCACAGGGCTGTTGTAGGACTAAATGTAATAATGCAAATAGTGTTATTAACCCCGTGCCCAGTGGTGGTGATGTCAGAGGAAACATGAAAACCAGTGTGATGGGGCTTATAAAGTCACTTCTGGGGAGTTGCCCTCTGGGAGCCTTTTGTCAGGTCTCAAACTGACTCCACGTTTATCTCAGAAACTGACTGAGGACATTCTTCTGAGTCTTACAGCGATAGTCCTCAGAGTTCGCCTGATCCCAGCTATTCCCCCCATTCCTTTTTTTTTTTTTTTTTGAGGAAGATTAGCCCTGAGCTAACTACTGCCAATCATCCTCTTTTTACTGAGGAAGACTGCCCCTGAGCTAACATCTATGCCCATCTTCCTCTACTTTATACGTGGGATGCCTACCACAGCATGGCTTTTGCCAAGTGGTGCCATGTCCGCACCTGGGATCCAAACCGGCGAACCCCAGGCCGCTGAGAAGCGGAAAGTGCATACTTAACCGCTGCACCACTGGGCCAGCCCCACGCCTCCCCAACTCTTGACACAAAACAGGATCCTTTCCCCTTGGCAACTTCCTGGCAAACGACTCTCCTGTGTCAGGCAGCATCTTCTGTGGGCAGACAGCCTGTTAGCTGAAACCTAACTTCCCAGGGTCTTCTGCTCATGGTCCTAACTCTGCCCTCTGGCCACAGAGAAGTATGTGCCTGGTGGTAGCTCCTCTGATGTGGGAGGACAGTGCCTCATTCCCCAAGTTGGCCCTTCTCCAGGCGAACCCTCCCGGTTCTGTTGGCTGCATGGCATGTTAATTACAACAGCCACCACCTATCAGTCAGTACCAACTAAGTACTATGTTAGGGGCCGTACACACATTATCTTGGGTTCTCGTGATAATCTTGCAAAGTAGGTATCATTAGGATGTCTTTACAGATGAGGAAACTGAAGTTTCAGAAAAACTCAGCTAATAAGTGGCACAGCCAGGATATACTCAGGTCTGTGGACTCCAGGGCCCACACTGTCAGCCCCACACAGAAAGCCAGTCCCTCCCTGGCCTGACTACCCTCTCCTGGTCCTGGGGGATTCAGGGCTCCAGATGTGCTCTGAGAAGAGAGTAGGGCGGACCATCAGCTCCTTTGTTCCAGATGCTATGTTACTTGAACAGCCACAGCTCTTTACTGGTTCTGACTCAACGTGTGGATTCTCAGTCCTTTCACCCCTTCCTGCCCTAATCTTTCAGATCAGACAAGCTTTCATTCATTCTGTACATTCACTCAAATCATTAACAAGACAGAAACCTGAGAGTTATCATTGCAGACCTTCCTACAGAGTGTCATGAATTTATTCTGCTTTCTCTCCTCCCACACACTTGAGTTTTATACCAATCTAATCACACCCAGCTCTCTCAGAAAGGGATGTCACTCTGCTCAAGCACTGGGTTTGAGCCAAGGGGAAGGTCACTGCCACACCCACTCTATCCTACAGACAGCCTGGCCCAGTACTTGGGATTCCCAGTTTGAGCTCAGTTCCTTTGGGGAGAGATTGCACACTAAAGTATTCACTGCGGGGGTGGGGTATGTTATACCCCTCAGTGTCCTCTCAGTCCAGAGGACTGGAATCCACCTGCATCACAGCCATGTCAGCCAAACTGGAAGGACCCAGTGTGATAGAGAAGTGTGGTTCCACTTCCCTGAGGGTGTTAGTTAGACACCAACTCTGGCAGGGCTTAGACCCAAGGACAGCTTTCAGTCTCAGCCACAGGGACCTTTCTTCTGCTCCCTGGGTGTTGGTGACTGCAGTTAGGGTTTCTGTAACTATGGCCCCAGCACAGAGGCTATAGCCAAACCCCTGGTGGATCTTCATGTGAACTCTGACCCAGGCCAACAGCTCCCTGAAGCCTCTAACCTCTAGGGAATGGTCCAGGGGAAGTCAATGTTCTGGACAGGGCACCCGCAGGGCATCCATCTTTCACCTCAGGGTTCCAGTACCCAGCATGGTCATGATAACCAAGTGCTCAGTCTGATTGAATGAAACTGATTGGGGCAATTCCTGCTAAGCCAAGGCAGGGAGCTCCCAAACCTCCTCTAAAATGTGGCTTTATCAGGAACATGGAATCGAGTGGCAGTGGGCATACCTCAGACAAAGGAAGCAGAACTTTTTAACTGATCCAACCTCTATTCTGGGGTGGAGCAGGAGCCACTTTCCTGAGAGCTGCCTGGGAGCTCTCCGCGGTGCTGAACTCAGCCCCGGGCTTCCTGTGGACCTTGTCCTTCACACTCCCTTGCACAGCAAACTCATCCTGATCTCAACAGCGGGACTCTGGCTCCTGAGCCAGCCTTCTCTCTATTGAAGGGACAAGTGTAGCCCTTCAGCATCTCCCTATGGTGACCCTCCCTGCAGTGATGAATCACTGTAACTCCATGATGATCCCAAACCTATGCTGGCTACACCTACAGTGAGCCCCCCAACCATGACTTCTATAATAACTCCTACATAGCTCATCATGGTAAATCCAGCCCACGGTGGCCACACCCATTGGCCAGGACTTGCTGGTACCTGTGATCAGTTCTGACCTGGCTCGTGGCCCTGAAGACTCACCTAAAGAATTAAGTGCAAAGAAACCTGAGGATTGAAGGTTAAAGAGCAAATCACCCTCTCAAACCCTATGAGCACTTGCCCAGAGAGGTGGTTCCTTATCCTCACAGCCTACCATGCCCTGGGAAGATTCCCCAGCTGTTCCAAGGCACCCCCTGACCCAAAAACCCTGAATCCCTCTAGCCTCCAGACCTATACAAAATTGGGGGGAGTGTGGAATGTCAGAGGTAGTTGTAGCTCTCCTCATCTTCCCACAAGGAGAGAATTAGTCATACTTCAACATTAGCCGCCCCCCATGCCCTTTTAAGTGTCTGTGAAACCTTCCCAGATAGCCAGACTACTATCTACCCAGGATCCAAGGTCGCACCTAGTCATTCTCTGTGACAGAGCCATGGGACCCCTCACCAAACCTGGGACTCCATAGATGTCATCTTCCTCATGGCCATCTTCCCCATTTTTTTAGCCACTGGGGTCTTCGCCTTCTCCTTCTCTTTGGTCTTTTCTTGTTTCTCGAGCTCCTCTACGTAAGCATCATAGATCTCCCACTAGGCAAGGGTGAGATGAGAGGGATTATTGCAGGGCAAAACCTTCACCTAGCCAGCTCCTCTTTAGGCTTTAAGTCTTGAGAAGTGAACCATGTCAACCCTTGTCATATGCCTCTATAGCCTCCTCTACTTAGCCAACTATAATTATGTATTCAATGTCTATCTTCCCTGCTAACTGTCAGCCCTAGGACAGGAATGAAGGAGCTCTCAGGGCACCTCTGTGCTGGGCCTATCCACTCTGCAGCCCAAGGGCTGGGTTGTCAGCTGGAGATCAGTATTGTTGCAGCTTACATCCACTACCAGGCAGAACAAATGAGCAAACATCTGGCTAGCTCACACTTTTGTTGGTGATTTATAAGACTCTGAAGTAGGAAATTTAAAAATGTCTCCCCCCATGAAGATGGGATAAACATATTGGGTCAGGCTTGCTGTCTACAGCATTGACCACACCTTCTCAGCATAAAAAGACAAACAAAAAGTAAGCGAACCACTGCTAACCAGATCTGACAGCAAGAGAAGCTCAAGGATAGTAGCAGAGGAAGCAGCAAAGATCTGGGGCTGGGCAAATGCTCCAGATCACCCTGTGTACTCTCCAGAGCCGGGTAGTCACTGCCACCTGGAGGCCAGATAGGCACACCTTACATTTAATAATTTACCCACAGGCCAGTACTGCACATGCAAAGTACTTCAATGTTTGTTATTTCATTTAGAGCCCTCCAACAACCCTGTGAGGCAGCTTATCATTCTCACTTTACAGAGAAAGAAACTGAGGCATTGAGAAACCATGGTGACACGGTTTGCCCAGGATCTTACAGTATGAGCAGCAGAGCTCAGATCTCCTGGCACAATATCCTGCCCAATCCGCATGGCTATCCAGTAAGACTTGAGGGTGAAGGAGGGTCTGCAGGAACACTGAAGGGTGCTAGAAGGGCAGGGCCAGAGTGCTAACACTTCAGAGTCAGCCATGGGGTGCCATGGGCTGCAGAGAGTCCATGGGAACACATGTTCTCCTGTGGTCTTGGAGGAACTTCCAGAAGACATGCCTGCTTCCCCCTTAGACATCTTGCCTTGGGGGGCATGTGGCTCAAGCAGAGCCCACTGGGTAGGGACCTACCATCTCATGTGTCTCATATTCAGAGCCTGCACAAGGAGCAAAGAGGCAGATGGATGAGGAGGGAAGACTGCCAGAGGAATACTTGACCATGTCAGTCTTCCTTGTTGCCAAGTGAGACAAGGATGCATAGGGTGGGGGGTGGGAGGGGTGGGATGGGACAGTGATGGCTTTTAGACAGGCCCAGGGTCTCACCTGATTGGCTGTGGCTGAAAAGTTTGTCCTGGGAGGAGGCTCCATCTGGCATTCTCGGTCCTAGAGAACAGTGACAACAGGAAACCCACAGAAAGCCCTCAACAACTTCTCACTTAACCCAACAGTATATCTATGGGTGAAGCAATTTGGTTGGAGCTGAGGGAGGGATGTGACACAGAACTGGGAAAGCAAAGAGGAGCCTGAGCAAAGAAAGCCTACATTTTCCATCCAAGCCTCCTTCAGAAGAGGCCTAAGCTAGAAAGCAGGTGCAATGAAGCCTCATAGTGCCAGATTCAATCAAGAAAAACTCCAAGTGGGGGATGCTCAGACCTGCCTGTGGCCTGCCTTCAGACACAGGACACAGAGGTCAGCCTCTGGTGCACCACTGGGCTAATATCTCTTACCCTGAGAATTCTTCTCCCTAGTATTGGGGTCTCTGGCTCCCTGGGGGGAATGTACCCCCTTTCCATTGTGTATCACCCAGATTACCAAATGTCAGCATAGGGACCACACATGGTGATTATGAGCTGCCAAAAACCCGCCCTGTAGACCTCTGCCCTCCATCCACAGATTCATTTCTGTCGAACACTGCCTTACATATGTGAGTCTCTCACCTGAAGCTCTTAGGGGTTCTTTCAGCCTGGTATTCAGGGTTCTTTATGCTTATAAGCCAGCGAACTTCTCTAACCGTTGCCAGCTAGTCTACCACAGAGACCATCAACTTCAGTCAAACTGGCTCCTACCCCACCTCCCAGGACATTCAGGCCTCCTGTCTCTTCCCCAGATCCTAACTTTCGCCTCCTCTTCAAAGCTCAGTTCAAGTTTCAGTCTCTAGGTGGAGGGCTCCAGTCTCTTTGTTGTTCTCTCTGAATTTTTTTTTTTTTTTTTAAAGATTGGCACCTGAGCTAACAACCGTTGCCAATCTTCTTTTTTTTTTTTTCTGCTTTTTCTCCCCCAATCCCCCAAGTACATAGTTGTATATTTTAGTTGTGGGTCCTTCTAGTTGTGGTATGTGGGACGCCGCCTCAGCGTGGCCTAATGAGCAGTGCCATGTCCGTGCCCAGGATCCAAAAAGGCAAAGCCCTGGGCCGCTGAGGCGGAGTGCTCGAACTCAACCACTCGGCCACGGGGCCGGCCCCTCCCTCTGAATTTCTGCCTGGATGGCTTGCGGGGACCTGAACACATGTTCCCAGCCCTCCTTGGAGAGAGAAACTGTGGCATCTGCCCCGTCACCCTGCCAGGCTGAGGGCTGCTGGGGCTAGGTCAGGCCTGCTTCTTCCCTGCCATGCACAATGCAAGCTGTGAGGTCAAGGGGCTGGGGTACGGGCTGCCCTACCCGGAGAGGGTTGTTGAAGGTCTGTGAGGCCCTCTCGCTGAAGTTGAACTTGTTGGTGAGCTTTCGCTCCTTGGGTTGCTTGGGAGTCATCAATTCTTCTGCCACTTTTTCAGCTGCCTAGAAGAAAAGACCCACAGAACGAGGACTCGGCGGTGAGAAGAAGATGGTGGGGAATATCGGGAGTGAAAGAAGTCGTGTCCTGGAATAGGATGCAAGTGGGAGAGGGTGATGAGGCCAGAGGTGCTGGCACCTGCAGCTCTAACTTCTCTTCAGCCCCCACCCCCAACAAGACACCTGGAAGCTTCCACCTGCAGCTGGACCGGAAGGGGAGGGAAATAGCGATATTCTACTGTGCCTCAGCTGCAGGAAGGTCTGTTTGACTCCCAGCTTCCGCTTCCTTGGGCTCGTCTTCTTCCTCAACGACTTCCGCTTCTGAAATCACCAACTTGGCAGACTCCTCAGAACCTTGGTAGGACACTGCTGATGAGGCTGGAGTCCAGGCCCACTCCCCCAACCCCTGGCAGGCAGACCTTCTTGGTTCCTGCCTTTCATACCCTGCCTGCCCCAGGGTTCTCCTTGGCCTGAGCCCCATGGCTTACCTCCCACCCAGACCTGTCCAGGACAGCCAGCTTTTGGACTTTATGTAAACAGAGGCTCTGCAAAGCTCTAGCTCAATGATCCACTCCCTGGAGTGACCAGAGTAAGGGGACCAGTCTCCAGGCCGCAGCCTCAGGCTCGTCCAGAGGCCTACCTGTCACCAAGTTATTGCGGTAGCGCTGCCTCCGTCCTTCATCTGAGTCTTTGGGGATCAGATTCCCAACCTGGCTGAAGTGAACTGCCAGTTGGTCCACAAAGCCAATAAGCTTATACGTGCCTTCCTAAGAAGAGAGGGGGCTGAGTCAGACCAGGGGTCCCCAAAAGGGCTGGAGTCATTCTCTAAAGCCTGAGATAGTCCGTCTCTATCAATGGAAATATAACCCACCAAATCCTCAGTTAACCTGAAGCTTCCCGTGTATTCCAGTTTAACGAAGAGGAGGCAAATGAAATGAAAATGTTTCGCTTTTTTTTTTCTTTAAGTTCTCATCAGAGACTTATTTTAAGATATCTTCTCCTTCCAACTTTAAGCAGCTCTGGATTTACCTATCACTGGCTCAGGGGCCTTGTCTCCTACATCTGTGCCAAGGGATCCTGGCTCATCCGTCTCACCACAAACCTCAGGCAGGTTACACATAGTCATCAAATGCACCGGGCATGGCCCTCTCTCCCTAGTACTTAGTGGATGCCAGGGCTAGATAGATCCTCAGAGAAACCAACTCCCCAGTCCCCCTGTTCCATACCAGGGGACCACAGAAATCCAGAGGATTGTGTTCAGCACTTGTTCAGGTCACACAGCAAATAAGAAGCAGGGCTAGGCTCAAAGCCCAGGCAAGCTTGGTCATTCCTCCAACAACAAATAATTTTTGAATAGACACAATGTGCCAAGTATTTTCCAGGTGCCTGGGATGTAAAGTTTAGCAAAAGCAGACAGGACTTCTGCTTTCATAGAGCCTAGAGTCTGGTTCCTCGAGAGTGCCTCCTTATTGATCAGCGTCTTAGTCCGAAAGTTGATTTTGAGATCAGTGGCTGCTCCCTTCTTTTAAAACAGTTCTTCCCAACCCTGGTCAAGTCATCTTGAAAGCGGTTACATTTGCATGGCACCTGGGGTAAACTCATTGCGGAGGAAACCAGCCCCTGGGCTCCAGCTGCAGCAGACACATCTGCGCCTGGAGGGTGATGACTATTTCTGCACGCAGATTAGGAAGCTCTGCCTTAAAAAGTCACCCCAAAGCCCTTCCTTTCTCAGTAACTCAGATGGATGGCGAGATGGGGCAGGGCAGTGGCTAAGAGCAGGGTCTTCGGAGGTGGGCAGAATTGGATTCAAATCCTGATTCTGGCCCTATTATCTTCATGACCTTGGGCTTAACCACTCTAAGCCTCCATTTATTCATCTGTAAAATTAGGACAATAATATCTAATTTTCAGGATAGTTCTAAGTATTGAAAATAATGAAAACAATTTATTAACACAGTGTCTGACACATAATAAGTGCTAAATACAAGTGCTCAATAAAAATAGTAACTATTACTATGACAATGGAGGTTCCCATGGAATAAATTATCCATATAGTTGTCATTTGAGATTTCACCTTCATCCTGTCCCCATCAGGGACTAGGACCTTCTGCTTCAGTTTAGGGATCGAATTCACACTCCATTCCTTCTGTGGAAGGAGGGGAGGCATGCCTAGATCTGAATAATGTGCATGCCACTCCAGCACTTAAGGGAAAGGAGGAGCTTTGGAGACCTTAAGCCCTCAGATCTCACCGAAGGGCCAAAGAGACGGAGACCAGCTCTGTGGGAGGACGCCAGGCAGGCCCGGGAGGCTGTTGGAAGGCTGGATAAGGTGAGCCTGCCTGGGAGCCTAGGGCTACCCAGCTGCTAGTTGACTCAAAGGAAGTTTTTCTAATAAGGTTTTCTTCTTCCCAGAGGGCAAGAGGAGTGCACTGATACCCACAAGGCATGCCAATCCTCCGCCTGTGGCATGCCTCCTACGGCCCGTGCACTGAGTCCCAGAGAGACCTTTCAGAGGTCAAAAGGACAGGAGCCCACAGAGTGCACCACACTCCAGCGTAAGCTCAGGGAGGGAGAGGTGGCTTCCCTCTGCTCCTCTGCCCATATGGGCTGCCCGAGGAGGCCATTAGCACACCTCAGGAGTGGAACCTCTCAGGAAAGACATTTGGATTTGTCCCAATCTCTTTGTGGAGGGGTTTACTACTCAGTCTTAAACAAGAAGCAGCGTGTTCAAGAAATTGTTCACCAAACCTTTTATATGAATGTTCATAGCAGCAGTGTTCATAATAAGCAAGAAGCAGAAACAATCCAAATGTCCATCAGCTGATGAATGGATAAATTAAATAGGGTATACTCATACAAGGTGGTATGTTCATACAACAAAAGATGGTATATTCCTATTATTTGGCAATAAAAAGAAATGAAGTACTGATACATGCTGCAACATGGATGAACCTTGAAAACAAGGCTAAGTGAAAGCCAGACACAAAAGGCCACATATTGCATGATTCCTTTTATATGAAAGGTCAAGAATAGGCAAATCTATAGAGACGGAAATAGATTAGTGGTTGCCTAGGGCTGGAAGGAATGGAGGACTGGGGCGCGACAGCTCAGAGGGACGGGGTTTCTTTTGGGAGAAATGAAAATGTCCTAAAATTGATTGTGGTGATAGTTGCATAACCTGTGAATATAGTAAAAGCCATTGAATGACTCACTCTAAAAGGGTGATTGTATGGTATGGAAATTACATCTCAATAAAACTGTCTAAAAAAAGGAACTGGTAATAGTGGTTGTCTCCAGGGAAGGGGACGCCGGGGTTGGGCGGGGGGGAGGTTTCATTTTCATTGTATTTTCATTGCTCTTTTGAATCTCTTGAAATTTGTACCATGGGTTTCTATTATATATTCAAAATAGTTTACATATCTATCTATAAATAAATCTTCTTAAAGAAGCAGTACAATGTTGTTTTGGAGTAAGACAAACTAGTTCAAATCTTGCTTTGAATTCCGGCTATGTGATTTGTGCAATTTGTTTTATCTAATTTAACCTTGGTTTCTATAAAACGAAGAGAAAAATAGTTCCTATATCAAAAGAAACATGATTAAATGAGATATCCTAAGTAAAAGTTCTAATATAGGATCTGACACCAGCACAGTAAGCATAGAACAAATGGATCGTAAAATAATGAAATAAAAAACATATGCACCGCTTCCACTTTAACTCATATCATACCTGGAAGTTCTCTTCCATCAGTCCTCACAGGAGCTGATCTTGCTATGGCTGAAAACAGTGTTGTACCCCTTAATGATGTGCTACATAGGTGTCTACCAAGTGAGAAAGTGCCCACGCCACACATACCAAAGGAAGGCCCTGATGGAGTCAGCGGCCTGCCTGGCTGTGATGTCAGGAGAGGCAGAGAAGGGAGCCTGCAGGGCTTCCTCCCAGGCAGAAATGCTGGAGGAAAAGACCAGGTCCTGGTCCAGAGGGAGCCTGTACTCCACCTAGGTGTCAGCTGGAGAAACACTCAGCTTCCGAAGACCCAATAGATGATATTAGTAAAAACATGTTATACATACTGGAAGAATATTTTTCTAATCAAATAATTCACTTTAGGGTCCTTGAAAAGACTGACTCTGCAGGGCACTTAAGACAATGCAATTAGCAAGACTGCAAAGGAGATTCATAAAGAAATTTCGAAAATCTCAGGAAAACTCCATTGAAAATCCCAAGGTTCCAGCCAAGGATCTCGGCTTAAAGTTGGTCTCTTGAATAGCTGAGAGGCTTTTGCAAAGCAGCAAGGAGCACCGAGAGGCCCCTGCCCCAGGGAGATGACTTACTTTGAAGCTGTACCTGACGATGTTCTGGGGTGCATGTGGGTTGTTGGCTGTCAGGATCCGGGTGAACTCCTCCTTTAGCTCCTAAGGGAGAGAAATACCAAAAGGGTCCTACACGGAGAGTCCCCTACCCGCTCTGAGGCTTGAGCAGATCCCCCAGGGTATCGGCAGACACCTCACACCCAGGTTCTGTGCAGGCTCCTAATCAGAACTGTGGAAGAACACATCTCTGAGGCTGGAGGAGGCAGAAGGAGCAAGGGTGGGGGCGCTGCTCACTCACCGCGTCGGTCAACTCCAGCTGGTCGGGGGGTCGAACTGTTGCTTTGGACTGGGCCCATTCATCTGCCCCTTCTGCCACTTCAGTCCCTGAATCTTCATCCTGGACAAAAGCCTCACGTGAGGATCAGGAGGGCCTGATCCGCTTGGACAAGCAGGCAGTGCTGCAGGAATCCCCTTTATTCACAATCCTCCCTGAAGCCAAGCTCTGTCCCAACACACAGAATATAAAATGCACAACAGAGAGGAGTCCACAGGAGCTGCTCAAGCCAGAGTGCTCTCTGCCTGGAAGATCATGGCCATCTCAGCCCGGGCCTCAGGGCTTAGCTGGAACATTGTGGTGGCCCTTGGCCCCAGTAGTGGGACAAGAAAAGCTGGCTCCCCGCTACTGTCTCCCACACAGCCTGGAAGCTAACCACCAGGACCAGCTGACAAAGGCAGGGCTTTACGCAAAATGAGAGGATGCCCAGCTCTTCTTTAAGCTACTTCAACTCTACTTCATATTTTACCTTCCAATTTGCCACCTTAACGTGGCTCTTACAGCTAGACTCTCAGTACTTGGTAACTTGAAGCCTACAGTCCCGTCAGATCCTTGGAATGAAAAAATCAAGGGCTAGAAGTTTTTCCTTTCCCTGTTAGACAAACACCTTGCCAAAGTGGCCCATGATATATTAAAAAATACTCCCCCTCAGGCCCAGCCCCGTGGCTGAGTGGTTAAAGTTCCGCGTGCTCTGCTTTGGAGGCCCAGGTTTGCGGGTTCAGATCCCGAGTGTGGACCCACTCCACTCACCAACCATGCCGTGGAGGTGTCCCACATACAAAGCAATAGAGGAAGATTGGCACAGATGTTAGCTCAGGGTGAATCTTCCTCAGGAAAAAAAAAAAAAATTCACCCTCACTAGCAATCAAAGATGTGCAAAATAAAACAAGGCAATTTTTTCACTATAAAACTGGTGAAAACCAAAAATAAACAAATGAACCAAACGAAACAAAACTAATATCCAGTATTGGAGAGGCTGTGGTAAAATGGGCACTCATAAATTAGTACAACCTTTCTAAAGAGCAGTTTGGAAATATTTGTCCAAAAACCTAATAAATGTTTATACTCTTTGACCCAAATTTCTATGTATAGGAATTTATATTAAAGAAATAACCAAGAATATGCCCAAAGATTTAAATGCATGAATGTTTGTGGGAGGAGTGCTCATCATTAATGAAAAAGAGAAAACATCTAAATGTCCAACAACGGGGCATGGTTGAACAAATTACGGTATGGCTCTAAGGAACATATGGTAAAATATTATGCAGTAATTTTAAACGATGCTATAAAAGTCTATCTATTGGCAATGGAAGCACTCTAAATATATTATGTAAAAAGCAGATTATAAAATAACACATACAGTTTGATTCCATTTAAAAATAAATACACGTAATTCTTATTTATGCACAGAAATGTCTGGGAGGATATAACCTCACATGTCAACTAAGAGGCTTCCTGAGGTGGTAGGCTTAAGGGTGATTTTAGTGTTTTTATGTTCATTTGAATTTTCTTAAAAATATATAGCTAATATTTTCAAGAGAACAACTGCTATTAGCTTCTTGCTGGGAGGGTGGTGGTCTCAGACTTACCCGCTTCCTGGTTCCTCTGCCCACACTGACGCTCTGAAAGAAGAACAGAAACAGGAGGCGAGTCATGAGTGAGTCACCGTGGGAATATCAGAAACAGTTCTCTGAGGAGGCTTCCAGCCAGGGACCTCACAGACAAAGGACACTGAGCTGTCCCAAGTCTCAAAAACATCTTCTCAGAGGCAACATATGCTTCTTAGCCCAGCCAAGGAGGTCCTGTATCTGAGGCAAGCCCATTCCAGCATCAGTGGGGCTGACCCATGGAGAGGTAAGAGAGCACTGGGCATATATCATTTGCAACCAGGTCAACAAACATTTCTTAAAAGCATAGTCTAAGTGCTCAGCTGTGTGCTAGGCATTAATGGGACTGTGAGGGCAGAGTCTATTCATAAACACTTGTTGGGATGAATGTAAGCTCTTTATGAGTAGGTACTTTGTTTTGTACTCTGTGGTCTCAGAATATAGTAGGTGTTCAAAATACTTATTGAATGTAAATGAATGAATGCCGTCAAACCTATTAGTAATCGTGACCTTGGGAAAAATGTTTTTCCTCTCTGGGCCTCAGTTTCCTTGTCAGTAAAATGCATAGGATTGGATATGATGACCTTCCAGTTATAACATGCTAAAATTTTATGTCCCCAAGAGCAGCCTGCTCAATTCAACTTGATAAACATTTGTTGTGCATCTATTTATGTGTCAGGGACTAACCCAAGCAGTGGGACAAAGCTGAAGAGAGAGATGAGGTCCCTACCCCAGTCTGCTCAGGGTCTGCGGAGGACAGATGAGTGTGGTCAGGGCTCCTCAGCTACTCGCTCACTTGCTCACTCACTCGCTCACTCTGCACCTGTCCTTTTGAAAGCCTGCTGTGTCCCAGCAGTAGAGAGATGTGTGCCCAGGGTGCTATAGGAGCACACAAAGGCACCCACCCGGCCTGGGGTATGCCAGAAAGGCCCCCAGAGGGGGCTATTTCTTAGCTGGGTATCAAAGGACAAGTACAGGTTGTCCAAGAGGAGAAAATGTTTTTCAGAAGAAGAGCACAGCATTTACAAAGGCAAGAGGAGAACACTGGGAGAGACGGTAAAATGTTTCACCAAAGAAACAAGCAAAAACCCTGCAGCATATATACAGAATAAATAGCTGTTTCAGATGATGGACAAGAGGGAGATCAGTGGGTGCCGGAGACATGAGGGAGGGGCTCCTGACAGAGGCAGACCTAGAGCACTGAAGGAGGGTCAAGGCAGTAGAGAAGCCAAAGGCACATGTTGTTGGCAGCATGACACAGTGGACAGAGACCTCCGCTCCCAACTCTAGCTGACCACTTGTATGATCTTGGGGAAGTCTCTGGGCCTCAGTTTCCCCAGTGCAAAGTGAGGGAGTTAGATTAGATGGACTCTTAGGGCACTTACATGACAGGGTCTGTGGGAGAGGCTTTGCTGGTGGTGGGGAGGAAGGGACTCGGGGGAGAGGAGAGCATGTCTCAGCTTGGGCTGGGATTGTTGCTGGTAGGGCATGCAGCAGGATTCAGATTTCTGCTAAGTTGCCAAGGTTTCTAGTGATGGGAACCCTTTTCTGAGGCTAAAACGCAGGAGCCAGAAAGCTGCTTTCCTTTGAAGAGCCTCTGATCCCTAAGGTAACAGGATGGAAGCGTCACAGTGTCCAACCGTTTTCTGGCCCACAACAGAGCACTGGAGGGTCAATCCCAACCCAAACTGCCAGGCTTAAATAGAAAACGAGATCCAGTTACCACTGCCCCCTGTAAATATGTCTGTAAAACATTTATCTGGCAATAAAAGAACTGACGAGGCAATCTGAGTGTAATTGTTTTTGGCAGTTGGAAATATTTCAATTAACACACTATAAAAGCCACACTATAATAAATGCAAAACAGGCCAATGAAATCAGCTACAGCCCTGACTTCCCAACCATGGCAAAGGAGTCTGAATGTCAGGCTGCCACTTTGGGCTCTTGGTTTTCCATAAGGAGGAGCCTGAGACAGACAAGCCTGAATTCCTGAAAAGCTTTGGATGGTTCCTCCCAGAAGCCATCAAACCACAGAAGAAGAAAGCCCAAACTCCCTCCTCCCCCGGCCCTCGGAATTCTATCTATCATCTGGCTCCTCATCTCCATTCCAGCCTGCTCTCCCAGCCCTCGGGTGCCAGCTCTTTGAAATGCAGTCCAGAGAGCCTACTCACATGTCCTGAGCTTGGCCTGTGCTTTCCCACCTTCCCTTTTACCGTTTTACCATTCTTCCTGCCAGGAATACCATCTTCCCCTTCCCCTCACTGACCCACTATCTCTGCCTAACAAAACCCTACCCAGCTAGCCTCTGCTGGTCCTATATCCCACCCTGACATATTATCACTATTTTCCCACCTCCCTCTACTCTTCCTTTCCTCACTTTGAGCAAGGGTCTGCCCCACCTTCCATCACCACAAGTACCAGCTGTTGTGAGATGAAGGATGAAATGTATCTTCAAATAGACACTCTGTTGTCTCTGGGTTTTGGTTGTCAAAAGGGGACAGTATTATGAAAAGAAAAACAACACTGCAGTACACATTGGAGGCAGCTTGGTGATTCCAGCAAGGGAGGTCCACAATTCTTATACTATTGGCCAAAGATCATCTTCTTCTCTTGGATAGGTCATTCTATTTGGCCAAGGGACGATATCAATGGAGGAGCGAGGCAGGAAGAGGAAAACCATCCAGAATACCATGCCAAATTAACCAAATTAACCCTGGTGATCAATGGGATAACAGATGTCCCAGCCTGAACTCTTTCATAGTAGAGCATTTTTCTATTCTCATTGTTACAGATTTTAGTGTGAGCATCCTGAGGGCAGGAACTGTGTCTTAGTCATCTTTGGACCACTAGAACAGAAACTAGCACTTGGATCGAGTTCACCTAACCTTACGAAGGTCATTGGTAACAACTCAGCAGCTTAGTGGTCACTTCTCAGTTCTCTTACAAGACCAGACATTGCTAAGGGCTCCCTCCCTCTATCTTGAAACTGCTACTCTACCTTCATTTCCATGTCAACAACCTCTCTAGTAGCTCCTTCTCAATATCCTTGACCCCTCTAAGGATACATGCCTGATCCCCTGTTAGTCTTCTTATTCTACACACTCCCCTTGGGTGCTCTTACCCCCACCCAGAGCTTCATCTTCCATCCCATGACAAAGCTCAAATCTGTTTCTGTGGTTTAGACTTCCTGGAACCTCACGTTTAAGTTGATGACAGTACTCAAACTCAGTATCTTAAAAACCAACCTCATTATGCTCTTTTTCCACCCCAATCATTATGTTCTTTTCCATCCCAAACTTCCATTTCCTCCAGTATTTCCTATCTCACTGAAGTGCACCACCATCCATTCAGTCACTCAGGTTGGAAACTGGGAGCTATCAAAGACACCTGCCTTTTCCTCACCCTCACATTAGCACCATATTTCAAAGTCTAACAATTCTATCTCTTTAATATCTTTCATAACTATCCTCTCCATTTAAAGCCCCCTTAATTCAGGCCCTTACTATCTCTTGATGAACTACATTGGATTTCCCTGACTCCAGTTTCTCTCCACTCCAATAATTATATCATTATCACCATTTCCAGCTGTTGATCATGTACTCTGGGCCATTCATTTACTAAGCAATTTATGTAAATTATCACATTTAATCTTCACAACCATCCTATGGGGTAGGAGCTATCATTATTCCTATTTTACAGATGAGGAAACTGAGACATAGAGAGATCAGGTAACCAACCCAAAGGTGACCAGGATTTAAACCCAAACTTTAATCACTATCTGTAAGTGATCTTCCTAAAACATAAATCTGATTATGTCATTCTCCTGATGTAAAGCCTTCAAGGGCCCCCCCGCCTGCCATGAGATGAACCCCAAGCTCCCTGGCATAGCACCCACCTCATCTCTTGCTCTTTTCTTCCCACAGCCATGGGAGGATGCTTTGAAAGTGAAAATTCTGGTCAATATAACAGATGATTATTACTGCTACCTGCTTTGGACCTGTTTTGGCATATGACCCACTGAACAATGTAAGCAACCCATTTGCCCTGAGCATATTTTAGGGGTAAGGAAGGAGATCAAAACTTCTTAAGCTGTTCCCTATCATGAAGATATAATATTTAAAAATAAGTATGTGATCAGATGTTCCCATGGAGCCCAAATAAGGCCTTTGAAGTTCAACCATACCTGGGTTCGAGTCCCCACTCTGCCACCTACTAATTTTATTACTCTAGGCAAGCTACTCGTCTTCTCTGAACCTTAGTATCCTTGTCTTTAAAATAGGCATCATAATGACACTCTCTCAGACAATCATAGGTTTGTTATGAGGATTAAATGAGTTGATGCACAGTGTGGCTCCTGGCCAGGGTTTGCACCCAATAAATGATAGTTGGCAGCATTATATTCCCATTTATAGACCCTGCTCTGCCCTCAGCCACACATGATCTGTGTGGCTGCCTACTAGGAAGCACCCACCCTAGGGATGACTAGAGCCTTTGGCAGCTCACGTCTCCACCCAAGAGTTCAATGCTGAAGCATGATTGTTCCTGGAAAGGGGCTCTTCGAAGCATGCAAACCCACAGATGCTGCGTCCTCCTTCCTGGGTCCTGGGAGACTTCGTTTACAATTTCAGTTGTCTTGGTCCTTATTTTAAAACTCACTAGCAGGTTTCCATTAAGCTAAATTGAAACTAAATACCTCACCAGCTTGCAGTTTCCGTTTCTAAAAGGGTAAAAGCTCTTAGTCCCAAAGGAACAGTAATTCACCAACAAATCTTCCTCTAGCTACACTGACTGCATTTCAGATCCCTGAACCTAGTGCAGTGTCTAAGGTATGCAGAAGGTGCTCAGGAAGTGTAGTTGAAAGAGATCTCAAATTTTTAAACACTGGATGAAGGGTAACAGGCACTATCTACAGTACTGTGGGAGTGTCAACTGATGCAAACTTTTTATAGGGTTATTTGGCAATATCTACCAAAATTTTAAATGCAGATGCCCCTCAACTGAGCAACTCCACTTTCTTGAATTTTCCCTATAAAAATATTCATACACATTCATAAGATGTATGTAAAAAATTGCTCACTGCAGCATTATTTATAATATTTTAAACATGGAAAAAACCTAGGGGCTGGCTCCATGGCTGAGTGGTTAAGTTCACATGCTCTGCTTTGGCGGCCCAGGGTTTCGCCGGTTCGGATCCTGGGAGTGGACATGGCACCACTCATCAAGCCATGCTGAGGTGGCATCCCACATAACACAACCAGAAGGACCTACAACTATAATATACAACTACGTACTGGGGGGTTTTGGGGAGAAGAAGAAGAAGAAGAAGAAGAAGAAGAAAGAAAACAAAGATTGGCAATAGATAGCTCAGGTGCCAATCTTTAAAAAATAAATAAACAAATAAATAAAATAAGAATGGAAAAAACCTAAATGTTCATCAACAAGGGCCTACTTAAATAAATTACTGTATAGCCATTCAATGGGATATTATGCATATTTTTAAAAGAACAAGGTAAACTTTTATGTATTTTTATGGAAAGTTCTCCAAGGTATATTATTAAATAAAAAAGCAAGTTACAGGAATAGATGACCCATCTGCTTACTTTAAGAATATGCATTCAATAGCCAAGATGTGGAAGCAACCTAAGTGCCCATCGATTGATGATTGGATAAAGAAGATATGGTATGTATATACAATGGAATACTACTCAGCCATAAAAAATGACAAAATCGTCCCATTCCAACAACCTTGGATCTCAAGGGTATTACATTAAGTGAAATAAGCCAGATAGAGAAAGACAATCTCTGTATGACTCCACTCATACGTGGAAGACAAACAAACACGTTGACAAAGAGAACAGATTAGTGGTTACCAGGGGAAAGAGGGGTTGAGGGGGACACAAAGGGCGAGGTCATGCACCTATAATATGACTGACAAATAACAATGTAAAACTGAAATTTGACAAGGTTGTAAACTATCGTAACTCAATAAAAAATAAAATAGGGAACAAAACAAAACAAAAAAACAAACAAGAAGATGTGTGTGTGTGTATTTGCATATACATACAAAATTTCTGGAAGAATATATGGAATCTGTTGATAGTGTTTAGTCAAGGCAATGAGACTGGGGAATTGTGGGGAAGGGCACAATACTGTTCACCTTATACTCATTGTCATGGTTTTAATATTTTAAATGTGAATATGCATTACTTTTATAATTAAAAATGCTAAGAATTTTTTAAATCAACAAAGTACAGTTAAAGAGATTTTTCTTTCCTGTTAATGCAGTGTTATTAGCACAGTGCTCAGAATGCAGAAAAAGGGGATATGAGAGCAGGCTCACGCCTCCCTGGAAGCCCAAGAGGGCAGAAGCCAGTTCTGTGGGACCCTTCTCACGTAAGGCTGCAGAAGGCAAGGCAGGGGAGGGTTTAAAAGCTGAAGCTCTGAGTAAGCCTTGGCTGGATTCTTGACTCTGCCGTGAACTAGTATATGTGAGACCTTGAGCAAGGTATTTAGTCTCTAATCCTCATTCTCTCATCCATGAGGTAGAGAAAAATATTAGTGCCCTCCTAAGAGTTGCTCTGAGGACAAAATAAAACAAGGCACAAAGAGCACCTAACTCAGAGCCTGGCACGCAGTAAGCCCTCAGGTAACAGTGGCCGTATGGACTTTGTGGTTGTCATTATTTCATTATTCTATCAGGGTCTGCCATGCATGGCAATTGAGTCCCATCATGAGGGCATTTATTGAATGGTTGAAAAATGTGTTGTCTGGGTCCTGGGAAGTCCTTATAGGGAGCCTACAAGGAGCCTATAAATCTCAGGGTGTCACAGCAGAGGGATGACGATAAAAATCCCTTCCACTTATATAGCACCTTTCAGTTTACTAAACACTTTCGAGTACGTCATCTCATTTGACTCTTATAATAATCTTTCATGGATTGATGTTGAATTTTTTTTCCTGAATCTATTGAGATGTCATTATATGATTTTTCCCTTTTTTTCTGTTAATACAAAGAAATCCTTGATTGATTTTTTTAACATTGAGCTAACTTTGTGTTATTGGGATAAAGCCCACTTGGTCTGATATACTATTCTCTTTATATGTTGCTGGAATAGATTTGCTAATATTTTGTTGGATTTTTTTTGCATTTATGTTCATGAGGGGTATTGGCCTGTCATTTTCTTTTCTTGTAATACCTTTGGTTTTGATATCAGAGTTATGCCAGGATCATCAAATGAATCGAGACTTCTTCCCTTCTCCTCTATTTTCTGAAAGACTTTGTGTAAAATTTGTGTTATTTATTCTTGCATATTTGATACAATTCATCAGTGAAACCATTTGTGCCTAGAGTTTCTTTGTGGGAAGGTTTTAAATTATGAATTCAGTTTCTTTAAATAGATATGAAGTCTTCATATTTTCCATTTCTTCTTATGTCAGTTAAGGTAAACTGTTTTTCAAGAACTTTGTCCATTCCATCTAGGTTGTTGAATTTATTGCCATAAAGTTGTTGATAATATTCCCTTTTTATCCTTTTTAATGTCTGTTGGATCTGTAGTAAGATCTCATTTTTCATTCCTGATATTGGCTATTGTGTTTTCTTTTAATCTCGATGAGCCCTGCTAGGTTTTACCAATTTTATTAATCTTCTCAAAGAACCAACTTCTGGCTTTGTTAATTTTCTCTATTGTTTTTCTCATTGTTTCTATGAGACAATAAAATAAATCAATAAATCAATAAAATAAATGGAATTGATGAAATAAACCTTCCTTCTGTTATTTTGGATTTAATTTGCTCATCTTTTTCTATTTTCTTAAGGTAGAAACTTTGAACATTGATTTAAAATTTTTCTTCTTTTCCAAAATAGGCATTTAAAGCTATTCATTTCCATTAAGCACAGCTTTAGCAGGATCTCACAATTTGTATGTTATATTTTCATTACCATCCAATTGAAAATGTTTTCTAATTTCCCTTGTGCTTTTTTTGACGAGCATTATTTATAAGTGTGTTCTTTAATTTCTAAATATTTGAGGATTTTAAAGATATTGCTATTTATTTTTAATTTAATTCCATTTTGGTCAAACTATTCCAGGAATGCTGAAATCTCTCTGTCTTCGATGGATGTTGAATTTGAACTGAATTAAAATCTGTAAGGTTGGGCTGGCCCAGTGGCACAGCGGTTAAGTTCACAGGTTCCGCTTCTCAGAGGCCTGGGGTTCGTCGGTTCAGATCCTGGGTGTGGACATGGCACCGCTTGGCACGCCATGCTGTGGTAGGCGTCCCACAAATAAAGCAGAGGAAGACAGGCATGGATGTTAGCTCAGGCCAGTCTTCCTCAGGAAAAGAGGAGGATTGGCAGTAGATAGCTCAGGGCTAATCTTCCTCAAAAAAAAATATCTGTAAGATTTTAATCTTTTAAAATGTATTGAGACTTATTTTATGTCCCAGAATATGGTCTATTTTTGTGAACATTCTGCAGTTCTTGGGTGTAATTTTCATTCTACAGTTCTTGGGTGTAGCGTTCTATAAATGTTAATTAGGTCAAGTTGGTTAACAGAGCTTCTATATCTTTCAATCGCTAAGAAAAGAGTGTTAAAATCTTTAACTATCATTGTGTATTTTTCTATTTCTCCTTTTAGGTCTGTCAGTTTTTGATTACACACTTTGAAGTTCTATTAACAGGTGCATAGACGTGTGTGATTTTATGTCTCCTCTTGAATTGACTCTTTATCATTATGAAATGTCCCTATTTATATTTGGAAATACTCCTTGTCTTGAAGCCTACTTAGTTCTGATAATACTATAGTCACACAGCTTCCTTACGTTTGCCATCACCATGGTGCTCTTTTCCCACTCTTTTATTTTCAACCTTTCTATGTCTTTACATTAAACTGCGTCTCTTATAGGCAACATATAGTTGGGTCTAGCTTTTTTTTTCTCCCTAGCCTGATAAACTGCCTTTTAATTGAAAGTATTGGTATGGTTGTCTTCACCATGTTGCTCTTTATTTTCTATTTTTTTCTATCTGCTTTTGTTCCTATGTTCATCTTCTGCCTTTTTTGTGTTCACTGAGATTTTTTAGTATTTCATCTTATTTTCTCTTAGTTTTTTAGCTGTGCCTTTTTGTATTACTATTTAGTGGCTGCTCTAAGGTTTACAATATGTATCCTAAACTTACTATAGTCTACTAAGAATAAATATCATACCACTTTATACTTCACAATGTAATAACCTTACATCTTAATTCAATTTGTACCACCTCATCCTTTGCTCTATCATTGACACATATTTTATTTCTATATACATTATAAGCCCCACCTTACAATGGTATTATTTTTGCTTTAAACATTCATATGTATTTTAAGGAAATTAATAGAAAGGGAAAAAGCTAGTCTTTTATCTTTAGCCACATACTTGCCATTTCCAGTACCTTTTGGTCCTTCCCATAGAAAGAGCTTCCATCAGGTATCATTTTCCTTCAGGCTAAGAACTTCCTTTAGTACTTCTTGCAGTAAAGATCTGCGGATGACAACTCCCAACTTTAGTTTATCTGCAAATGTATTTATTTCACCCTTCTGTTTGAGGGATATTTTTGCTGGACATAGAATTCTGGGTTGACAGTAATTTTCTTTCAAGGGCTTTAAATATGTCATTCCATTGTCTTCTGACCTCCATTGTTTACAATAAGTCAGCCATAATCATATCATTATGCTCTTGTACACGATGTCATTTTTCTCTGACAACTTTCAAGATTTTATTTTTATCTTTAGTTTTCAGTATTTTGACTATGAGGGACCTAGATATGGTCTTCTTTGTGTTTATCTTGCTTTGGGATTACTGAGCTTCTGATAATCATATGTTTTCCACCAAATTTAGGAAAATTTTGACCATTCTTTCTTTAAATGTTTTTCCCCCTCCTCTCTTTCCTTCTGGGATTCCAACCACATATACGTTCCAAATACATATATGACACATCCCACAAGTCACTAAGGCTCTTTTTTATTTTTTAATCTTGTTTTTCTCTATTCTTCAGATTGGATAATTTCAATAGACCCATCTTCACGTTCAGCTGTTAGGCCTATCCAATAAATTTTTTATTTCTGATATTTATTTTTCTATTGTTTCCACTGTTCTGCTTATATTCCCCACCCATTAATTCAATGTTTTCTTTCAGTCTATTAAATATTTATAACAGCTGCTTTAAAGTCATTTTCTGCTAATTCCAACATCTGGGTTATCTCACCCGTATCATCATACTCTCCTTTGGATCCATCTCCCTGAGCCTTGATCAAGAAATTGTCCCCAGGCAGAGAGCAGGGATAAACACATGACTCACATTGGGTGTTTTCCTTCCCTCAGGAATCGCTGTCCTGAGGGAATGCCTAAAACAGTTGCCTCATACATTTTGTCCAAGACTATAGTTATTCACAGTAATGGCAATTCCAGGATGAATTGCTCCATCATGGCCAGAATATAAGTTCCCTATATCAAGGTATTTAAAAATTATATGTAAAGTGTGCTGCATTTTAAAATTCCTTTCAGAAATGTGCTATTTTTAAAAATGCCAACCCTAAAATAAAGGCTTTTTTGAAAAACAGAACCTTAATGTAAATATCAGCCCTAAATAAAGGCATTGGGCTGGAAGAAATGTGAGGCCCTTCCTGCACAATGTATGAGAACAAGATTTATCAGAAACAATGTAGAAGTTACTCTGGAGTAAAGCAAGTTGTACCTTGCATTGTAGGAGCCAAGGAAAGACCATGCCTCCTTCTAAGGGAAACTGCCCTGCTCACAGCTTTGGCTACTTAGAGAGCCATAGGATCCTCTCTCTCCCTGATACAGCCCGGCATGAGCAGATCAGCTAAGGTCAATCAGATCCCTCCTCCAAGAGTTTAAACTGGGACTACAGAGAGAACCAGTGTTGGGTGGAGATATTGATGGAGATACTTGTGAAGCAGAGAGAAGCCAGAGTGGCCATGATGATCTGGAAACACACTGAAGTTATGAGGGAGCAGAAATCACAGAAAAGTCAGCTGGTTGGGAAATGAAAATAGGGAATGGAACATAGTTGCCAAGGGAAGTAGAGTGGGCATGAGAGCTATGGAGAAAGTAATTAGCACCTGCATCTATTTCAGAACCAATAGTTTTCCAATTCCAATTCTAGGCTATCTATATATTTAAAACACCCACCCACAAAATCCCACATATACACCTTCCCCCTTCACCCACTCTCCTGTCCTTGAGGTAACTTGAGTGAGCCTCTGCTCTTTGTAACTTAACAGCTTAACTGAAATATATGTGCCTTAGAGTTTGCCAGGCCCGTAAAGGGCAGGAGAAGTAGGAAAGTCTTGGGCATTCCAGGCAGGGGGATCGAACTCATTAACAAAGATACAGAGGCTTGGAAACATGCGTCCGTCCAGGGATCAGCAGATTTTTGTATCCCTTTTTATTCCAATTTGTCCCAAAGCAGGATTTGAGGCTGACTATACAACACATGGAAAAAATAAGTCAAAGAGAAGATGAATATGAGGTAAAAATAAAAGTTGAGAAATACGCTTAACATTAGGAGTAGGGTCCCTACATAAATAACTGAATTAGGTGGCTTTGGCTAGGACAAAGGAGGCATGAACTGCTTCTTCTGCAGGCCCAGAAAGAAAAACTTAGTGTTCTTTCTTAGAGTATTGCAGTACGTACCTTTCCATCATTCATTTATTTACTCATCAACTAATTCACTCAGTCATTATTCATTCATCCAGTATATATTAAGCATGTACTATGTACCAGATCCTAGGATGACAGCTAAAGAAGAACCAAGGTTGAGTTTGTCCCAGCCCAAGGGTTCACAAATCTAGGAGGTAAGACAAAGGGAGGACATCAACCCACCACACAGACCAGAATCCAGTGACCCCAGGAGTAGGACAAAGTGTTGTGAGACACAAGGCAGTGAGACCATAGTTTGAGCAACAGCTATCTCCTTTGCTTGCTTCCTCCATACAACTCTGTCTCAGTGATTGGGAAGATTGGACAGTCCGTACAAATTCCTAACTGGCAGAAAACAGTTTCATGTGGCTTGCTCACAGCTGGAGCCAGAGAATCAAAATTACTTTACAGCATCAGCTTGCAGGCTGCAAAGCCCAGGGATAAGCACAAGAGCCCTCTGCCATTATTATTTGAGTACCTGGCATGTCCTGAGTACTAACAATGTGCTGGGCTCCACAGTAAACAGGGGAGGAGACCAAGTTCTGGCCTCAAATGCTCACAGCTGTTTCATAATCTGATAATTGTGCATGACAAACCTCAGACCATAACTCTGAAAATAGCATGACTGTAATCATAACAAAATGGGACAGCCATTGGCAAAATTTGTTTTCTAGTTATCACTTCCAGAAGGAATTCCATAACACTGCTAGGACAAGAGAAGAGAAAATGCTCTCAACTTCCTGCCACTAAACCTCTAAACTATCATCATCTGCATCCATCCTTTCCTCCTTTCTCCTCTCCGTTACAAAGTGTTCCACCTCCTGTCCACAGCAGATCTACTCCCACCTCCTCAGAGACTTGGCGCTCATCATTGTTTCATCCGTCTCCTTCATCTTCAACTTCTCCCTGTCTGTGCCAGGGTCCCTCCTCTCAGCATTTAGCATATTCAAGTCTTCCTTTCATCTCCTAAAAAATCTTTGTCTATATGGTCTTACTGCCTTCTTAGCTCAGTTCAGTCTGGCTTTTACCTCCGAAGTTTTGCTTTCCAAGATCCCCAGTGACTTCCTAACTATTAAATCTAATGGCTGTGTCTAGTTCTTATCTTCATTGACCCTTTAGCAGTATGTGCCATGGCTGACCACATGCTTTATAAACACTGTGAACTCACTATAAACCACTCTTCCTTTGGCTTCTGGGACATTATTCTTCCTTGCTGTCTTCTAACCCGTCTGGTCATTCCTTCTCATCCTACATTTTAGACTCTTCTTCCTCTGTTCAAACCTTAAATCATGGTGGTCCTTCTAGAAGTCTTCCCTGATTCCCCTAGAATCCATGTTAGGATCTCCTTACACATGCTTCCATAGCACTTGCTGCTACTTCCCCAACCACATTTCATCATTCATTCAATAATCATTCCTTGAGAGCTTCTGACGTGATGGCCACTGTGATAGGGGCTGAGAATAAAGATGTGAGCAAAAACATCCAAAGGCCCTGGTCTCAAGGAGCTCACAGCCTAATGGGAGAGACATACAGTAATCAAATAATTACACAAAGAAGTGAATAATTACACACTGTGATGTATGCTATGGAAGAAAGGATCAGGAGCAATGAGACTATATAATAGAGGAAACTTAACCCTATCTTCATTAACGTGGCAGGGGATGCTGGGGGTGTGGGGGGGTTGTGGGGATTGATGTTTGAGCTGAAATCTTAGAAGTGAGTACATGTGTGAGGGAGGCTGTGAAGAGTGTTCCAGAAAGAGGGGACAGTATATAGAACTGAAACACAGCAGTTCCAAATTCTGAAAGGGAAGAGTGGTACAAGTTAAGGCTTAGAGACCCAAGCGGGCATCAGCTCATAGAGGCCTTGAAGAGTTATCTAAAAGTTTAGATCCTATCCTAAGAGCAATGGGAAGTCACTGAAAGGTTCTGAGTGAAGGATGACAAAACCAGACTGACAGTTTGAAAAGATCCCTTGATGAAGTGTAGAGAGTGTATAGGAAGGGGCATGAGTAGATGAGGGAAAAAACAGTTACAAAGCTTTTACAGCACTCTGGGTGGGAGATGACTGTCAGCTGGGCTAGGGAGGTGGCAGTGGTTTGATTCGAGAGAGATTTAGGAAGCAAAGGGTCATATCTAGGGCTTAAGGAAGATAAGAGGTGGAAGGATGACACTGAGGAGAAGGGTCACAAGAGTGAGGATATCTTACTTTGGACACAGAGAAACACACCAACTTCCTTTCGATTCTGCTCCCCTCCTCCTGTCCTTCCTTCTGTGGATCCCAGGTCCAGTCACCAGGCTCAAAATCTCTGAATCATCTAAGACTCTCTTCTGGCTGTGCACCCAGTCTTCCCCACTAGCCCCTACCCTAGTCACCCTACCTCAAGATCAATATTTCTAAAAGTATTGTCCCAGAGGGACCTCTGAACAGACCACAGAATGATCTGAAAACACAAGTCTTTTCTTTGGCTCTTACAGGCAACCGATGCAAAATTCCAGACTTTGATTTTTTTTTTTATAGTAACCAACTGAGTTATAAAGGAATACTAAAATTTGTTAGTCATAAACTAAAATTAGCTTTTAACTGGAGTTCACAGAAGACTCTAATTCAGTTCTCTACTAAGAAGTCTGGCTGCCAGGCAATGTTTGGCAGTGTTGCAAAGCTCCTCCTGCATATATACACAGGCAGCCAGTTGGAATTCTCGCAATTTTCAGGAAGGACGGTTTGTTATTGGGGCATTACCAGGGATGTTTTGAGCTGGTCATGGTTTATGGTGCCTGACATTCATGCATTTTAATTACAAATTATGATTCATGGCGCTCCATCATGATCAGTTTAATATGCCGTGGGCTATTTGATTAACCCTGTGCGGTAAGGCGATACACCTCTCTGACCTTATTTCCCATCACTTTCCCCATCCCTTCCCTGCTGAACCAGAACATGTGTAGCAGCAAGCTCCCATGTCAGGGACCTTACACTTGCTATGCCCTCTGTCTGGAATGCTTTCCCCTTAGATATCATAGTTAGCGCTTTCATTTCCTTCAGGTCTTTGGCAAATGCGACAAATGTGAGGCCTTCCCTGACCATCCTATTTAAATCATAATCTTCTGGTTTCCTGAACACCCTAATCCATTCCTCTGTTTTATTTTTCTCCTTGACACCTCTCGCTGTCTGATAATCTATATATTTTACTTATTTGTTTATTGACAATTTACCTCCAACTAAAAGATAAGCTCCACAAGAGCATGGGTTGTTGTTTTCTTTGTTGCCATACCACCAATACCTAGAACACTACCTGGCCCATGGTAGGTCCTCAATAAATAATTGTTGAATGAGAATGACTATTTGCATCATCAGAATTTTCGACTCCTTAATTTCCAACACCCAGCTCCTAAGGTGTGGGCACACTTGGTTCACATTTGAACCACTCAGAGCCCTACTGCCAAAGCAGATACAGACACGAACCTGGAAAACATGCTTCTACAGTGACATTTCCCTGTTACCCCTCCCCACTAGTCTCCCCATCCCAGGCTCACCCCTTCCTACCCTTCAAACATGCTCAGATCAGAATTTCCAAAGAACAACTCGAGGCATTCAGAATTCATATGCAACTTATTTTCTCAGAAGTTAATATATTCCAGGCATTGTGCTAGGTCCAGGGTAATCAACAATGGATGAGACAGACATGATCCTTGCCACCCCAGAGTTTATAGTCTAGTGGGGATATCATCCTATCCTGTCTCCAGAAAGGGGACTTACTCTTTTGTAGGAGAATATGACAGCCAAGCTGAGACCTGATGTGGGGACAGGAGACGAAGGAGAAATTTGGGGCAGGGTGGCATGGAGCAGGTGGCAGCAGATAGAAAAGACTGTACCAGGCAGGCAAAGGAAACAGCAATTCCAAAGGCCTAGAGGAGAAAAAGTGTGGATGTCACTTTCCAGGAAGTGAGGGCAGTTGAGCGTGCTGGGACTGTGGAATTTTCACAGAGCAATGGTGAGATCTGAAGTAGGGTAGGTAGCAAAGACTAGACTGTGCAAGGCCTTGTAGGCCATACAAAGCAACCTGGACTTCTGGGACTATAGCCCGAGAGCAAGAGGGAGCCACTGAAAGGTCTGATGAGTGGAGTGACATGAACAATGGAGTTTAAACTCTTCTCTGTCTGGGGCTGGCTGGGTGGTATAGTGGTTAAGTTCACATGCTCCACTTCCATGGCCCAGGGTTCGCAGGTCTGGATCTTGGGCACAGACCTACACACCACTCATTAAGTCATGCTGTGGCAGCATCCCACATATAAAATAGAGGAAGATCGGTACAGATGTTAGCTCAGGGCCAATCTTCCTCACCGAAAAAAAAAAAAGGATAAACTCTTCTCTGGCCTCTAACAAACCCAACCCTGACCTTCCCTCTCCACTGAAGTCATCCAAGTCATAGCTGCCTCAACCCTGAAGCTTTTCTGCTGCACGAACCTGCATGTCTCTCTCTCTCTCAGCCTCAGGAACCTCATCCTCCCTTATCTGTGTATGTCTGTGTTCTGTCTCCCCCAGGGGACTGAGTTCCCTGAGGACAGGGATAACTTCTCAAACCTCTCTAGGTTCTCCCACACCCAGCTTACCACTGACCTAGGTTGGGCTTCACTGAGACAAAAGAGAGATGAATACAACCTAGCACAACCCAGCCTTTTCTCACACCCAACACCAATATTTACACTGTACTAAAACAAGCCTTCCCTCCAGGGAGCAGTGCTGATGGGTACAGGGCCAGTTGACCCAGGTTTCTCTGCTTCCCGTGTGCTGTCACCTCTCTCTGCTCTCAGTGTAATTAGCCCCTGATGTCTCCCCAGTGGGCTGGAGAAACGGATCCCCAATCTTGTTCAAACTGCAAGTGCTAGAAAAGACAAAACCAGTTTGTAGTGACAGAAAGCAGATCAGTGGTTACCAGGGGCTGGGGGGTTGGGGAGAACTGACTGGGATGAGGCACAAGGGAACTTTTAGGGGTGAGTGTCCCATACCTTGATTGTGGTGGTGGTTCACAAGTGTACAAATTTGTCAAAACTTGTCAACATGTACAACTAAAATGGTCCCTTTTGTTGTATGTTAACCAGACCTCAGTAATGCTGAAGTTAAAATAAACTGCATGTAAGTTAAGAATCAGTAGCCCCAAGCACAGTGCCTGAGCTTCAAAATACAGTTCAACCCGGACATAAAGCTAGGGCATGGCCATGCGGGAATAGCAGCCTCCCCATGGTTGCAGAGATCTAAGAAAGATGAGTCCACCTGCTAAGGAAGGCCAGGCGAGAGAAGGAAAGGAGCAAAGGCTAACCTGGAGGAGGCCAGACCAAAGTACGTACAGTCAAACAGCAGGGATGCTGATTTGCGCTCCACATCTCCAAATACCTAGGCCTGAGTGAGGGAAATTTAGGGTCAATAAATATAAGTCCTGCCTCACAGAGCCAGAAACTGCATATATTAGTCCCAGAGTGATAATTCATAAAAGGTTTGGAAAAAGTGATTCTTGAAGGACTGAGTGGCTTCACCACAGAGGGCTCCTTGAGAAGCTGGGCCTCACCTCACCTTCCAGAGTGATGCTGGCAGGAGAGCAGAACTGTGCTGGGCGGGTCAGGGGTTTCCTGTGAGAAGGATGACATCTGGCCAAGGGACAACAAGAGCACAGTGTTCGCATGGCTGAATGAGTCACAGAAGTGGACCAGGGGCTCACAGGGAAGAGAGACAGACCAGGCTCCAGAAATACTTGGGAGCCAGTGTTTGGGGTGTGCAGTGTGTGAAGGGGGGTCAGGAATGGGAAGGAGGTCTCTCTCACCTTCGTCTTTATCCGACCTCTCTCTCCTCCCAAGTTTCCCAGCACAGAAAATCCAAACCAAACTCCTACACATAATTTCTTGGAAACAAGAAGGGGAGGGCAATGAGAAGGTATTGGTGGGAGTGGGCGTGGGGGGTTAAGGAGGATAGGCTGGTCAGGATGGGTCTGTGGACTGAGTGGAGTGAGGGAGAAGAGTGTGGAGAGTGTGGGAGAGGAGGCTAGCATCAGCGGGAAAGAGTAGGACAGGGTCAGAGGTCAGTGGGAATACACTAGGCCAGGGTTCACAGGGAGAGAGAAGGTTAGGGGTCATCAGGGAAAGGAAGCTGAAGGATCAGTGGGAGAGGTATGATGAGTGGTCCCTGGCGCCGAAGGTCAAAGATCATCGGGAAAGGGCAGATCAGGATATGTGTTACCTGCCTACGAAGCGGCTGTTTCGGGGGCATCTTCGAAGAAGCGGGAAGCACCTCAACACTTGGAGCGCCTACAAAATGCTCCCTTGCCTAAGGACAAGAAGTTTGTCCGTCCCCTGGATCACGCACAGGAAATCCGGATTCTCTTTCACTTCAATTCCCAGTCGCAGGGGTTCTTTGGGGACAGCCGTCGTTGTGGGTCCCCGCGCCCTTGCAGGATGGCATCCGCTCCGCCCTGACGCGGTTACCCAGCAACCAACCGGCAGCCAAGGCGCAGGCGCCTCTAGGCCCGCTCCCGGCTCGAGGGGGAGGCGGGGCTGGGCGCGTGGGACCGCCCACTCCTCTAAGCCCCGCCCCTCAGGAATAAAAGGACCCGTGGCAGCGCGCCTTCGGAACTCCAGCATGTGGGCGGGGCCTGGGCGCCCAGACACCGCCTCCTCATGAATAATGCAGCATCCAGGCGGTGTCCCGGACCCGGAAGTGGAGTTGCCGAGTCACCGCAGTGGCTGAGCTGCTGACAGGAGGCGGCGGCGGAGGAGGAGGCGAGGCAAGACCTGCGTCTCCGCCGGGCCACAGCCGCGGTAGCGCTGGGCAAGCCCAAGGAGCCACGCCGGCCTCAGCCGCCAGCACACCTCCCGCCCCGCGCCCACCCCGCCGTCTGCTCGGCCGCCTGCCCGCCCGACGCGTCCGGGGCGGCCTAGTCTGCACCACCCACCGGCTCCTGGGGCCGCCGCCCCGCGCGGTCCCGTCGGCGTCCCTGGCCGCGCCCGCCCCGGGCCCGCTCGCCCGCCCGCCGGCACCATGATGGAGGAGATCGACCGGTTCCAGGTGCCCACCGCGCACTCGGAGATGCAGCCGCTGGTGAGGGGGCGGGCGGCGGCAGGCCAGGGCCGGGAGGGGGCGCTGCCTGAGGGGGAGGGAGGGAATCAGGCCTTGGAGACTGTGCGGAGGGGCGCCTTCGGATGGGGCAAAGAGAGCCAGGAAAACGCATCGCCGGGGAGGGGGATTTGCAGGACAAGAAAACCATGGGAGAATACGCGGGGTGACGGCAAAGGGCCTGTAAGGGCGGAAGGCACCGTCAGCGGAGGCAGGCCAGGCGAGCTACGGGGAGCGCCGTCGATGGAACCGAGCGGGGCACAATGGTGCACACCGCTAGTGGAGGCCCCTAGCTGGGAAAGGAAGGGAATTGTCATGGGGCACCGCGGCCGGCAGGCCCAGGGGCCTGGGATGGGAGGTGGGGAGGCATTTAGCCCTAGAGGCCTGTGATGCTCAGGGCGGGGGAGGGGGCCAGGGAGCAGTCAGGCTAAGAGGCACCGGGAATAGGCTTGGAAAGGAGGAGGGGCCTGCCCGCTAGTTCGCTGGATGTGGACGGGAACGCTGGGCAGGTGGGGGCAGGAGGTCGCTACAGGGCCGTGAAATTCCGTTCTTCCCCGGAGGAGAACGCAGGCAGTCTAGGCTGCGGGTGCCCGAGCCGGAGTTGGGGAGGAGAGCGCGGCGGCGAGATGGAGAATCGGGGTCGCGGATGAGAGAGCCTGGGAACCGCCGGAAGAGGGGGCGGGGCCGCGCTGGAGTCGCCTGTGCCCACCGGTTCGGAAGAGCCCCCAGCATCCTAGGCCTACGTGCTTGGAGTCCTTGCTGGGCGCCGATCCTGCCGCCTGTCCGCGGTCCCGGAGTCAGGGAGGAATGATGTCATCGCTGCCAGCGCGGAGGAGATGGAAGAGGGAGGGCGACGCGGGCGCACCGAGGCCAGGCCTAGGGGAGATCATGCCCGCTGGCCACCGCTCCGGGGTGCTACCTGACTGGCCTGTCTGCCCCGCAGTGGGGGAGAGACGCCGAGGCCTAGCCAGCTGGTATGGGGAGAGGGGGAAGGGAAGGCGTGCCCAGTTCTGTTCGCTTTTCCTTCTCCTTTCTCCTTAGAACCTGAGGGAGAACTGGAAGGAGGCGGGATGGGCCAGGAACCTGAAGGTGTGGATGGCCTGTTCTCTGAGCTCTGCTGGAGCTGAGCAGAACTCTCCAAGTCCTGAAGAGCTGGGGCTCCCTAAACCTCCTCTCTCTATGTTAGGTGGGGAGGTGAGGAACAGGTCCTATGCTGGGGCCCCCAGGCCCCTGGCTAACAGATGTGCTTTGTGGTTTCCTGAGCAAGCAACCTGCCCACTACAGCAGCCAAGACAGACCTTGGCAGGGACCCATGAACAACTCTAAGCCACACCTTTTGGGGGATGGGTAGAGAGAATTATTAGAGGCCACCTGGCAGGAGATAAGTGGCTTTTCTCCAGTTTTGGAGGGGAACTTAGTTCTAGAAGCCGAAACAGAGAAGCTTCACAGAAGTGTACAATATTAAGCCATGGAGAGATATGCCGCTGGACTTTTTTCCTAGTCTAATGCCATCATTGGATTTTTGGGGAGCCAGAAAATCCTAGTGAGAAGTCTGTCCCGTAAACCTGGGGAAGAACTTTGGACTGGGTTAAAAGAACTTTCCTTTCTAGATTATCTTTCCAGGCAGTCTGGCTTGTCCAACTAGATTACTCTCTCAGTTCTAAGCATCTAATTAAGAACCAAAAGGGAGTGTGGATAAAGGAGAAGGAGGTCCTAGTGAGTCGGGAGAAGAAAGCGGTGATTTGGTTCTTGCCTCCTGTCTGGGGTTCCTAGGAAGGGAGGCACTAGGTGTCAAGGGAAAAGGGGGAAGGAATGGGGTCACCAGGCTCTCTCAGGTGTCCTTGGTGCCTCTGTTATTGCCTGAAGTACTCGAGGATGGTTTGAGTGAGCAGTGGCCCCAGAAGACTCCTGAGCTGCTTCTGGTCTTTGTGGCTCTGAAGTAGAAGTGCTGATGGCAAGGAGGCACTTAGAAAAGTTGTGGCTGCCTACAGACCCTTTCCGTGAAGGCTAAGGAACCCTTCTCTGCAAAAGGATACTTCGTTGAGGTTAAATGAGAGCCTTCAAGAAGTAGCAATGCAGTCATCCCCTATTTGGGGGTCAAAGACATTGCCCTTCAGATCTCTGCCTCTTGACCCCTGTTCCTAGGTTGAAGTCTAGGGGATCCCCAGAACTCCTTAAATGCTCTGTGTACTATTGAAACCAGCAGAATCTTGTGCGGAGTTTCCCCAACAGCCTTCATTTCAGGGCATCAGGAAGCAAGATGGCATACCAGAGAAGAGAAGGGCAAAGGGGTTTTTTAGGAGCATTCAGGTAGACCATAAAAACTAGAGCCCCAAGCTTTGACTCAACTGTGACCTGTTTCATTTTTTGCCATTATTTATTGAGACTTCTAGGAGTCTCTCCTTTTCTCTGGACTCAGTTTTCCCACTTATGAAATGAAGGCAAACTATCTCCTTGAATAATAGCTCCTCACTCTCTCTTCCAAAGAGTACTATAAAGACCTGATATCATTGATTCAGCAAATTTATTCACCAAATGTTTATCGAGCATCTGCTCTGTTCCAGATGCTATACTAGGTGTTGGGGACACGGTGGTTAGCAACACAGACACAGGTCATAGCCCTGCCCTTCTGGAGCTCACAGTTCAGCAGCAGTTTATTGTTCTTGCTGACTCTGTCAGTGTGAGCCCCTCTGAGGGCAGAGTGGAGGCTGTCTCCTTAAGCCCTAAGGGAAACAAGACAATGCTGGTGTCAGCATCATTGCTCCTTTTTGGAGCAAGCTGTACTGATAGAGGCTGTCACATGGCTCCATCATCAAATAAGTGTCCCCCATCCATAGTGATAGGAAGAATCTAGAGGCCATTTCTTACTTGGAAAGATGAGCTGGAGGGGGAAAGCGTCTTTTTTTTTTCTTTTTTTTACTTGAAAGAGAAACTCAGGCTTGAAAAGAAGGCCTAGGGGAGTAGCAGGAGCTGGGAGAGAAGGCGCAGCCAGCAGATCTGGGTGTTTCCAAGGTGCTAATTTAAGCATAGTTCTCAGCTAGTGGGAGGAAGAGGAAGAAATCCCTGCCCTGTCGTTGCTGCTGCTGTTGCCACAGCTGCATGGAGCCTCCTGTCTGGGGTGGGCGTTTGCCTGAAGGAAGAGGCCTCCCTCCTTTCCTCATCATACCAGTTATTTAATTGGCCTGGCTGCATCTCAGCAGCTGAACCAGGCCCCGGCCTATCCCTGAGAGCTCCCCAGGGTCTCTTCCTGTCTCCTTAGGAAAGGAATGAGAGCTCCTCTTGGAGACCTAGTCCCTGGGCTCGACTCCTGCTGTGGCGATCTAGATAATCCTGAGTGTTTCTGAGCACAGATTTTCCCAAAGAACCTGCCAGAGATAGGCACACCTTGTCTGTCAGTTCTGTGTGCAAGCCATACATCTCTCTGACCTAGGGAAACTCCCAGCTGTCAGAGCTCTCTGTTGAGCAATTGTTGAATTTGTGCTGCTGTGTGTGGGCAGCAGGGAGAGGCTCTCTGGCCCTATTGTCTGTCTGCTGGGCTGGTTGGTGCAGCCCTCACAGTCTACGTCTTCTCTTCGACTGCAATTGGAGATGAAGAGATTTGTTGCAAAAAAACAAATGGAGCTTTTAAGCACTTAATTGTGTCAGGCAACACCTTGCCTCTTGTGTTATCAGAGGCCAAAGAGACAAAAAAATGGATGACATACGGCACCAGATGGGGTCTCTGTAAGCTTGAGAGAAATGCTAGTCTGGCCTCCCTGAAACCCAGGTTATCTGTTAACTCATTTGTTTAGTTCATGAACGTATGCTCAGTTCTAGGAACTTTAAGGGTAGCGATAGGTGAGCCCCCTCCAATGGGTAGCCAGGAGAAGGATGGGCTCAAACAAGTACGGAAGATTTTAGATACATATCAGGAAAGAGTGGAGAGCAGTGGCGGGTGTTCCTGACAAGGAGCGACACCTCCCTTGGGAGAAGATGAGGAATGCTGACATTCTGACCCTTTGACCATGTGAGCTTGGAAAGAGTTTCAGATTCCTTCTGCCTCCTGACACTCAGGGATGGGAATGGTCAGGACATTAATCCAGTGAGTGGGACACAGCATCTCCTGAAAGTAGCAGAGAGAACATTGTAAAAATAGCAAAAAGCCACTATGGAAAATTGACCTGTATGTATTCTGTGATCTGGGAGCCGTAAGTTGCCTCCTTGTAGTCTGATGACTTTTCAGTTTAAGGGTGGATTCTCCTGGTGGGTCCATGTAGCTCATGACCTAGTAGTATTTCTCAGGTTCCTGAAGGAAGCTCAGCCTCCTCTCTTTTCCAGTATTGCAAAGTGAAGATCACCAGGTTTGTTCAGGCCTCCAGCTCCTCCATTACTACTCATCTCCTCA